TGAGGTGAAGGATTTCCTCTTTGATGGTGTTGCTTTCTGACTCGAAGTGGTCGTTCCGGGCCTTGGAGTGGCCGTACGCCGTCCCTCTGCTATTTCCTGATATCATATTGTCGCCAATACTTGCCACATATAAGGGGCAACTTGGTATCATTTCGATCGTTTAGCAAGCTACTATGCAAGAGGTATCTGGGGAGACATTTCGTAACATACAGTAGGATATGGCTAGGTTATGTTTGATAGACGATTTGTGCCAGTACCTTTTCTCGAACAGCGGAGTACTACTACCGTGTTGGAGATACACAATCCTTGCAAAATTGGCCTTGATATTCTAAATATGGAAGTATTGCTCGTACTGAAAGAAACCCCTGACAGTATACTTAGTTCCACAGTATAAAGACGAGTATTATAGGTTACGTTTTGTCTAAGAACTGGGACTTTGGGAAATCAACAGACCGCTTAATGGCTCACAGTCCTAATGGACAGAATATGCCAGCAATGGACTTTCCCACACTCAAAGAATAATCCAGGATTTCCCCCGGGATCTTTCTAGAGCACCTAGATAGTTTCCTGTAGCAGTGTTGAGCAGCGCGCGATAATATTAGAGAGGGTGGGCAGCTGATTCGGAGCAATTCTGGCTGTCCATATATGGAGCAAAGCTAGGCAACTCTCGCCAGTTAATTTTACTCAGTACGCCTGGGCGATGAGAATTTGCAGTGATTATAAAACAAAAACGCCTCCAGGGAATATACTGAGTCACGCTGCGTGCAGTGGGATGGCCTGGACAAAGAAAAGAGGGTGTAGTCACTGGGAGAGGAGGGTGACGTTACGCTGGCGAGGGGATATTCCCTGGCGGATGTGATGGTGTCATTGCAGAAGAGAGAATCCCACTGGCTGGTCTGAGACAAAATGAGCAAGTTTTATTTTTACTATCACTGGAGACCCGCGTGCTTTTTTGCCGCTGAGCACTGCCTGTTTAGGCTGTTGTTTTTTTTTTTTTTTTTTCCCCTCTTCCTTTATATTCTTCTTCTCTTTCTCTCTTCCTCCTCTCTCTCTCCACAGACTCGTCTGGTCTCTCTTTCATCAGTCTGCTTCTTGAGCTTGAGAAGTGAGTCCCTTTCTGTGTCGTCGGTAGACATTGTATGTATCGACATACTGACCCGTCTGATTCAAAGCTGAGATCTCTCTGCTGGTTCCATTCGTTGGCCGCTGTTGAATCGTGTCTTGTCCATCTTTTTTTTGGGTCGTTGTTCCCCTTAGGCCAAGGCTTTTGGGGTGAGACCGCTTCGATTCACTTTCGAGTAATCGCAACATCATATCACTGCAAAGGTACGTACGAGACGTGAGAAGAGTAAACCTCAACTCCGATAACTGACACATCTTCTGCAGCTTTTCCCCATTGTGAAAACAATCATGTCGTCGCCTCCATCCAATTCTGGGCGAGGAAATTGGAGAGCCAACGTTTCGTACTTCAGGCAGATCCGGGACGAACCGCACCCTTACTCTCGAATCCGTCGAAACGTCAATCCCTGGACTCGGCCTAGGTCCAATGCTATCATAGGTGACGCGAATGGAAGCGGACGGCCTGAAATCCTTTGGGGTCTTCCCGCACACACTGCTCCTGGAGGTCTCCTGTACCGCGACCCCAACCAGGATGCCCGTCCGGCTACTATCGAAGAAGAAACTCCCTACTGGAACGCGGAGAATCGAAACGAAGCACGCCTTGCCGAAAAGGCGAGGATTGCTCGCTGGATGATGCCTCAATCTGAGATGACAGCTTCCCCCAATATGCATCCCGAGTGGAGACTTCATCACGACTACTTCTTGTGGGCATGCCGTGGTGATGTCGAAGAGATCGCCAGCCAGATGCAAGCTGTTTATGCTTTCTCTTCTCCTCTCAACCCGTCTTTCATCGCGGAAAGATTGAGTGGACCACGAGCCTTCCAGCAAATCAGCTTCCTCCTTGCCTATTTGCCCGGAGAAACCCGGACTCTTCAGCGTGCAATTGCCCGAGGCATTCTTTACGAAGCCAACTTAATCGACCCCGAGATTACCTATGGACGTCGACTTCGGCGCTTGCGTCAGTTCAATTGCAGGGATCCTAGGTACAGCCCACCCGTGATGCCACCGGATGCTCCACCTCTCTGGAGGCGCTACTTTGATGCGTTTCTGCTGATGTTTCTCGGCGTTCCACCTCACGATATCATCATCAAACACGGATGGCTTTTCCCGGCTGGACTCTCCGTTGATTTCCTTCGCGTCCGCCTGTCCCAGCTTGCCCACATTGGTCTCAGCAATACCGAAGTTACTCGGGCCTTTGAGCATAGGAAATCTATCGTGATTAATAGAGGATCATTGAACGCCCGTCGTCCAAGGGGCACGCCAAGGGGTCCGAGCAGAAGAGCGCGAAGTGTGGTCACTGAGCAGGATGTATTGGCGATGCTTGGAATAGAGTAAGAGCATTGGAAATTTGCTGCGGTAATCCTATCGACTTGGGCTTTTGGATGAATGGCGCGGTCTTACTCGATTGTTTCTTTTCTTTTCTTTATTTTTTTGTCTCTCTTTTTTGCTTTCTTTTTTGTCTATCCGGAACTTGGGGTTGGACTTCCTTGGATTTCACCACGGCGAGGAACTTGGGTGTTCAAATTCTCCATTGTAGTAGCTGTTGTTGTCCCGGCTTAGCATATCCCACATGCATGCGTCTCCAGGTTTTAAGTGGCGGTCTCGCGAACAAATATTTGTCTAGGAGAAAGCTCTGCAACGTAGCCACATTTGTACTTGTTATCCAATAAATCATAAGCGCACATGGCATTTGCGAAGCAAAAGCCGACGCTCCAACATTGAGGGCTAGAAGCCCAACAAACCCCCTAAGCCCCTTCAGGGCAAGATGTGGGACCATCTCCCTGAACGGTAGATCGGCCGTCTCCTTGAGAGACGGGATCTTCCAGCCGGTGCGGATATTGAGTAAGATCGACAACGTCAGGGCGACAGGAAGCACTCCCGTTGGGTCACCAGCCAGAAGATCCGGAAACCAGAGAACACCCTCATTCGCAAGAGATGGCTCGACTAAGGAGAGAGCATCACTACCAGCCTTCGCTGTCTCTGCGGCCTCCGAAGGCTCCACGTCGGGCTGGAAAAGGCCGTTCCTCCCGGACATGGCTCTGATACTCTCCATAACCGAGAGCCAGATGGGAATCTGCAAGAGATTGACTGGCTTCCAAAACCGAGCCACCTTCCAATGCTTCTTCAATTGCGCCCGTTTCTTTCTCATTTTGCCTGCCACCGCTGCCTTGATTGTATTGGAGAATATCGACATGTTGTATTTATCTTCCAAATTCTTAAAGGCCTCCTTTTCGTAAGATGTCCTCCAGGACATCAAAAGCGGCGTGATATCCCGTTCTTTGCGTGCCTGAACCCTACTGTATATCTGTAAGGGCAATGCTACCGTCATGCGAACAATCAAAGCGGTCAATGGAATGGAAACGACCCATGGAAGATGTGTAACCGAATGAATGCCATGAACGAAGCCGGAGGAAACATCCAGTACCTCGCTGACAAACGGCGACGGTCTCGTAGGGTGGAAGTGCCGGATCTGCTGGAAGGGCTTCTTGGATGCGGCGTGCGGCCGGAGACCGTGGAGGGAACGGATGGATCTCATGGCGTTGAAACAGTCCAATTGCTGGCGAACAAAGGTGTATTCAAGACGAAACCGAGCCGAGGAAAATGCCAAGTAGACATTAGCAATTAGCCAGCTGTGTCTTCGGCGAAATTGAGCTGCTGCAAGCCCCTGGCTGATCCTGACGTCGACGAAACCCAGACGGCGCCGGAGCTTTTTTGATGTTTCGGAGAGACAGACCCACGTGACCCGGTAATACGGATACCGTACGGCGAACTGGACAGGTAATGATTATCGCTCCGCCGTGTTATCAATAATCGATAGACAGCAGCCATAACATTTGCGTCTCATTCCACGCTCCCCCTTTGGAGCTGTTTTATATCTTGCCTGTCCTGGTTGCTCGTTTATCCAGATGTTGGCTTTTTCTATTATGAGAACCAGCTGTTAGCCATGTCGTTCCTGTTGAACATGCTGGTGACTCTGGTCGCCCTTGTCGCGACCTCCGTTCTTCTCCCGCAACTCCCCTTGAGTGTTCTTCGACTGGTGCTCCGCGGTGTCGGATGGCTTGTCCAGAGGAGAACCAAGTCTCGCAAGGAATTTATTGTTTCGCGGGTGAGGGCAGATGATGAAGATTTCCTGTCCAAACGAGCCAGGTCGTCACCCCGCACCCAAGCAGCTGACGAAGACTGGGAAAAGGTCGATACGTCCAGCTCAAGCACCGCTGGAAATGCAAACAAGGGACCTAGCGATGACGATTGGGATGGAGTTATTGGTTTCTTCCACCCGTTCTGGTATGACAAAATCCCCGGGGTTTGGTTGCGTTACGCGCTCGTTCGTTCGTCCATTGACTGGAGGTGACACAGTAACGCCGGCGGAGGAGGGGAACGTGTTCTCTGGGAGGCTGTGAGAGCCACGCAGAAGCGCTGGCCCAAAGCGATATGCGCTATTTACACGGGTGACCATGAAGTGAACAAGGCGGGGATGCTCGAGAGAGTCGAGGTAGGTTATAAACAACTATATGCTTCGGGGGGTGTTTATTGACTGTTGCGAACCCATCTAGAATCGCTTCAACATCCAATTGCATGCACCAACCGTGGTCCTACTCTACCTCTCTACACGCAAATATGTCGTCCCCAGCATGTACCCCTACATGACCCTCCTGGGACAATCTCTGGGATCTCTGATAGTCGCCTACGATGCATTCAACCTCCTTGTTCCTGATGTGTTTGTCGACACCATGGGCTACGCCTTTACCCTTGCCTTCTGCAAGATGCTCTTCCCATCGGTTCCCACTGGAGCTTACGTTCACTACCCTACCATTTCGACCGACATGCTCGAATCGCTGGATGACAAGAGTGGTCTCAAGGGTGTCAACGCCGGCGCTGGTACAGGCTTCAGGGGCACGGTCAAACGGAAGTACTGGCTTCTCTTCGCCCGACTCTATGGCTGGGTTGGCGGCCATGTCGACGTGGTTATGTGCAATTCCTCCTGGACCTCGGCGCATATTCGAACCATCTGGGGACCATCGCGCAGTGACAGACCATTCAAGGATCCCTCGGTCGTCTTCCCACCCACAGCCGTGTCGGAGCTCCAATCCACCATCACCGTAAACGACGAGACCGAAAACACCCGTGAACCCATCATCCTGTACATTGCGCAATTCCGCCCCGAAAAGAACCACCCCCTCCTCCTCCGCTCGTTCGCGCGCTTCCTCAACGAACGAAGCAAAAACCCCACGTCCGCCTCCCAACCGGAACCGAAGCTCGTCCTCATCGGATCCGTCCGCCACGCCAGCCCGGACGAAACCCACATCTACAACCTCCGCCTCCTAGCGCATGAGCTCCGCATCCGCGATCACACCACCTTCCTCTGCGACGCCAGCTGGCCCGCCATTCTCGAGCACCTGGGCAAGTCTTCCATCGGCGTCAACGCCATGTGGAACGAGCACTTTGGCATATGCGTCGTCGAATACCAAGCCGCCGGACTCATCAGCGTCGTCCACGACTCGGGCGGCCCGCGCGAAGACATCGTCATCGACCTCGGCGACGGCGCAACGGGATTCCGCGCTTCCACCGAAGACGAATTCGCCGCGGCATTCGAGGCAGCTCTTGCGCTTCCCCGGGAGGAGAAGATCGCGATGCGCTCGCGCGCCCGTCAATCCGCCCTACGATTCACAGAGGAGGAGTTCGGCGTCAAATGGCTTGATGCGGTGGGCAAACTCGTCGAGATGGCTCAGTAGGTTGGTTGGTTGTTGTTGTTGTTGTTGTTGTTGTTGTTGTTGTTGTTGTTGTTGTTGTTGTTGTTGTTGTTGTTGTTGTTGTTGTTGTTGTTGTTGTTGTTGTTGTTGTTGTTGTTGTTGTTGTTGTTGTTGTTTTTTTTCTTCCTTCTAGTTAAGTTGGATTGCTTGATAGATTATGCAATTGTATGTAGCCTACCATCGTTGTCTTTGTTAGTACCTCGCATCTTACATTACGTCGGTCATGGACAGAAGCTAGACCCATGCATTGCATAGTATGTACTTTCCAGAGGGTTGGCTGTTTGATAAAGCAGTCTGTCCATGTATTCATTGCCAGGCTTTGTTTTTATTATCTATCTGTTTGGTGCAGTCCTGCTGTAATGTTTTCGGGAATATCATTGAAAATTGTTTCATGCCCTAATCCTATCCTCTGAACAACCTACAAAGGGTGGTAAGAAACCAAAAAACAAAAATAGAATAAATCAAGGTTGATATCAAATAAATAAATAAATAAATAAAAATAAAAACCCACGAAAGAACCGACAAGTGTCGTATTCAAGAAAAATGAAATAAAATAAATGAATAAAAGAGTAAAAAACAAGACAAACAAACCCAGTATAGATCGACCTGGATATCCCAACGCACCCTTCCAGTTAAGGGTATTCCGCACAATGAAACAAATGGAGTAGGTAGTCCATGGGTATGTAGTGGAGGTTCAATCATAATCGCGTGACAAAAAACGATGGCCCTCACCGTGGGCCAGTCAATAACCAAAGGCCAGATAAATGTAAAAGACGTTGGTAGAAAGAAGAAATCGAAGGGGTGTAAAGAAGGGAGAAAAGAAAGAAACAAAAACAAATATAACGAGAGTTAATCCGCCATCATCTGGTAAATCTCTGGTTTTCGACCTGTATATAAACGCCAAATTCCCTCTATAGGCACCCAAGCAAACGAGGCCCTACAACCAACTAGGTTCGGGGCAATTATCCCAAAGGGATTTATTTTCCCAATAAGCAGAAATAAAAGAAAAGCCAAAGAAATCAAACCCCAAAGAAGATAGAAAGTGAAAAAAGATTGTCAGTATCAGCTTGATTCAGGGATAGCCGGAATCACCAGGACTAACACCCAACATCTGGTTTTGTCCGTACATATTGCCCTGGTTGCTGCCATATCCACTGCTTATCCCAGAGACACTGCTGATACCAGACTCATCATCATCGAAGCCAAACTCGCCGCCGGAGCTGGCATCAAAGCTGCTGCGACCTCCAATATCGCTGGGCTCATCTGCGTTTGCGGGTATTTGATCCCACTGCAACGTTTGGAGAGCTGGGTATTGCGCAAGCAACGCCGCGGGGAGAACAAAATTGCCCGCGTGCTGACCATCCATGCCAGGAACCATAAGTGGCTGCGGAACCGGCTGCAAGTGGGCATGTTGTGGTTGCTGCTGGTGACTCATAAGAACACGGTCGCGCTCTTGAGATTCCTCATCCAGCAAAGGCTTGATGCAGATTCGACCAGCTTCCGATCTGAAATGACGGCCGAGAGCATCTGCACGAGCGAATCGGCGACCACAACCCCATTGTGCTCCATGGGACAGGTCTCCGCGACAGACAAACTTTTTCTCTCCGGAATGCAGGCCCTCATGACGCTTACGATCATGCTGACGGGCAAAGGCTTTTCCACAGACAGTGCAGACAAACGGTCTTTCGTCGGTATGAGTCCGAAGGTGAGACCGCAAGTTGTAGGCACGGGTAAAGCGCTTGGGGCAGAGATGACACTGGAATGTTGCCGGGTGCTTCTGAACCCGCTTGGCGTCAGTGGTGACAGCCCCAGGTCGCTGAGGGTCAGCCAGGTCGAGGATGTAGTTACGCGTGTCAATGGACGAGGTAGAGAGTCGGCGGGATCTCGAGGGTGACGGTTCACGAGATCCGGGGTTACTGTGCGATGGCCGTCCAATAGAATCAAAGGGCGACAATGAGCGCGGCGAGGTTGGGGCCAGAGGCTCCAAGCTGGTCGTAGAAACAGGCGAACGAGACCGCGAAGCAGGATGAGCAAAAGGATCAGACTTGCTACGCATGCGGGATCCTGAGGTAATGTTTAGTACTCGTTCAGATAGACGCCAGTGCTAGGTAAGTGACTTACTCGATGGAGGACTCAAGGAATCAAAGTCCGCGGCCGGCTTCTGAGGGAAACCAGGGTTTCTGGCTGGGGGTGCAAACTCAACATTGATGGATGGAGGGGCCATCTGAGACGCCTGTCCAATGTCGGGCTGGAATTGTGACGGCTGCATACTCTCTGCACCATTGCCGTACATATCAGTTGGAGGGGTAGGGTATGGTGTACTCGGGGCTGGAGCCGAGATAAAAGGCACATTGGGGATCATATCCGGTCCTTGCTGAGGCATGAGCCGCGGAGAGATGTATGGACTGTGGGCAGGACTCAATGCCTGCTGTTGCTGGTGCTGGTGCTGTGGGTGCGGTTGGTGGTGCTCAGAAAGAGTGAAGGACTCGATTCCCAAGGCATTGTCGTAGAGACCGGGGTCATTCTGCGGTGCCAGAAGAGGCGAAGGGCTGTTGTCCGGGCCATCAAAGGACTCATGCTGGGACATGTATGGGGAATGGCAGACAGACGAGACCTCGGACACTTCTGACGGCGCCCGACGATGACCTTGGAAGGCGGAACTGCTCATCATCGACTGCCAGTCATGACCGGACAAATAATTTGCGGTAGATGGGTCCAAGGATGTATGGCGCGAGTGCTGGGGGGTATAGTAAGCCCCTTGGACAGAACCGGGAGGAGACATGGGGCCAGGTGAGTGTTGTTGCTCTTGTGGGGAAATCTGAGGAGAGGCTGAAGCATGGGGCGACGGAATCTGGCCCACCAAATCAGTCGGGTTAACAGATCGCGACTGGTTGTGGACCTGAGGGTCCAACAGCAGCGAAGAGTCGTACTCGGGCGCGGTGGTACTGTTGGGACTCTGGTTCTGATAGACGGAGAACTCAAAATCAGAAGGGTTAGAGTTCAAGAGGTTGGAAAAGTTCTCCTCGGGCTGCAAGGGCACCCCATGCGACGGCTCGAGGTGATTGACAAAGCTAGTATCAAAGGGCTGAGCAAGATTGACGCCGTGAGAGAAGCTCTGATCGGTCGGGGACAGGGTCTGCGACGAAGGCGACACCGGGTTGGTAGAGAGATAGCCGGCCGCGTAGCCGTAGGAATCGGTTCCAGTAGCGCCGGGGCTAGAATGGTTGTTGAAGGAAGGATTGGAAAAGGCGCCAGCAGCCACGGAGGGATCGAGGCTCAGCCCAGCAGTGGGATCGTGGTATTGAGGATGATGGACATGAGGAGAGGGGCTGGCACTACGGCTTTTAACATCCGCAGCGGGCGAGGTACCGGAGCCCCGGAGCGTCTCCTGCGAAGTCATCGCTTCACAGAGTATCCCAGAATAGAATCGACACGAATGGAGGGTGAGGGTTGGGGCGAGAGCGAGAGAGCAGACGGGCGATTGGAACGCGGGGAGGGAGGCGCGGACGGAGGAGTATGCAGACCACGACAGACAGACAGCCCAGCTAATGCAGGTACAGCGATGGCAGAGTAAGAAGTGGATGAAGCCTCAGACGACGAAGGATTGAGGGTGGATATCATTCGCAGACGAGGTCGTCCAAAGGGGGGTGGTGGAAGGAGAGAAGTGCACCTTGCGATTCAGCCTTGGGGCGCAAGCATCAGCGGTCGGTCTGCGGACGTTTCACATTCTAAGGATAAAAATAATAAACAAATAAGGTGGTACCTGAAGAAAGTAAGCTCTCAGCCTGATCTAAATCCCATGGAGAGAGAGAAGAAGATAATCAAGACGAGAGAGTCTGGGGAGAAGCAATATTGGCGATGATGATGATGATAATAATAATAATAGAGAGAATCCCACTCAGTCAAAGCGGATCGGGCAGCGATCGCACGTGAGGAGGGGGGGAATGGATATATAAACGATAATAAAAGAAAAGAAAATATAGCAGGAAGACAGAAGATGACCGTGAAACAGGATTCAAGGAAAGAAAACAAAAATAAAACACGGCAAAAGGATGCAGCTGGGAAGAGCGAAGGAGGGGAGAGAGAAGAGGCTCTTTCTGGTGGATTTGGATGGAGGGATGGATTTGGCCCCAAACGAGGAAAAAACCGCGTCCAAGTGGGCGTGTTTAGTGTCGATGGAGAGTCAGGGGGTTGGCGATGGATTCAAGAATAAGGAAATCATCCAGAGAATAATAAATTAAATCCAGCAATCACAATATCAGAGGCCGATTGAGGATGAAGAGTCGAGTTGAGCGTGCCGATTCTTTACTGTTTCTGGTGGATCTACTCTTCTAGGGTTAGGAATACGATGCGATAATCTTACGATGTTTGACTTGATAGATTGAATATGAGATATTTCAAATGTGATTATGCTCCTATTCTCTATCCTCTATCCTCCTTCTTCTTATTCTTTCTTTCTTCCTCTTCTCTGTACTGTATCTATGATCTCATGATTCTTCCGTATCGATCAGATAAAGCTGAAACCAGCATGCACTACAGAATTGTGTCATCCATTCAACACCAGGATGGATAATACCATATCAACAGAATAAATGCATCTCAAATATAATATCATAAATAATACACAAACAAACACATAATACACATTGTGCGAAGTCTATCACAGTCCCCCACTCTACACCGACAAGATGGAGTACAATCAACGACTCATCCCCCTGGCACCATCCATCATCTCCATCTGGAGAAATTCATCCTACATAACGTTATGTAAATGCAGAATGACGCAGATGGTTCTTCTCGCTCTATTTATATCATAGGAATTTAGGAAAAACAAAAAAAAAAAAAAAAAAATGAACATCACTGCAGTTCACGGACGATGGAAATCAGCCTGACATGTCCCTCCTTTCCCTGCTGGTGGATTCGAGGATAGCCTTGTTTGCACAGCCACCCAGCTGAACGACCTCCCCATCCACGGATGACTGAACGACGGTTCATTGCTAGGGGCTGGATGATCATTTTTCCTTTTGAGATCATCCTCAGATTCACTTCGAGCTAGTTTTAGATATTTGCAAACACCTCAACACTCGATCGCACTTCATCCGTGTTGTAATCCACCATCGTCACATCATCACAGCTCGATCCCAACCCCGCATTTTCAACCCATCCAGGCTCCCAGTAGAAGATGCCCTCTCCCCCAGTTGTCCCAGACACCACCTCCGCCAGCTGTTTCATATACGTCGTCTGCCCGTCCGCCGAGAACGGAATCGAACTCAGATCCGACGGGAATGAGTACTCTGGGTTAGGACATGAAGCGGGCCAATCCGTCTCCACCACCACCACCGACTTATCATAGTTGGACTGCAGATTCGCCAAACTGGTCTTCAACGCCGACAGGGTCGCGTCGGCGCTGTAGAACGGGTAGTACGACACTCCGATCAGATCAAAGTCGGACGAAACAAGCGATCCGGCGCCGAGCACCGTATCGTAAAAGTACTTCTGGGCCTCCCAGTCCCAGCCATTGTCGAGGTGGATCATGATCTTGGGGGTCGTGGAGAGGTCAGAATCCTTGACGCCCCATGCGCCCGAGTGTAGCAGGTTGGCGATGTTGGCGTAGCTGTCTGTTTTGCCCAGGGGCCAGAGGAGACCATTGCGGATTTCATTGCCGATGGAGACGATGGCCAGGTCGATGTTATTGGAGGCAAAGGTGTTGCAGACGTCGAGAGTGTAGTTGTAGAGCTGCCAGCTGAGTGTGTCGATGTCAGTAGTCGACCAGCCAGAGGGCGTAGTCTATCAATCAATCAATCAGTAAACATGAAGCGCCATTCGAGAGTAAAGTACTCCATACCTGATCACTCGGATCCGCCCAGGTATCACTCAAATGCAAATCCAAATAAATGTCCATCCCCGCTGCCTTGACCCGTTTAGCCAGCTTCAGGTTATAATCCAGATCGTATGACCCATCAGACGGGTTCACCCAGAGACGCTGGCGGATGGTATTGACCCCATTGGAGGCGAGGGTCTTCTCGAATGCCTCGGTCTCGCCATTGAGGTTCTTGTAGGAGATGCCTGCATCTTCCTCGACGAGAAGGGAGGAAATGTCTGCGCCGCTGTAGGTGAGGGCCGCGGTGGTGAGGAGGGGAAGAGAGAGGAGGGGGAGAAAAGAGCGCATTTTGCCTGTTACGACTACCAAAGACACTGCAATCGCTATCTCACCATGGGAGATATCCAATCTTTATACCTGCTGTGATAAATTAATTCACCGGAATTGAACCCAGCAAATCCCACGAATAGTAACATGCCCGGCAATTCATGTACCTGAAATCGGAGAAATTTCCTTTCTGCAGAGCTATCCCAGGACTAATTCCACCCCTGCAGCCATAACCGATCCAGGTTGATTGAGTCTCCCCCATGACTGCTACGCGATGCGGGATCGTCAGTGGCAGCCGAGGTGAAACAGCTCCACTATACAGGCTAGGGTTCCTCGGAGGTTGATTCTCCCATGTCAGTTGCTACGGTTTTATAAAGACAATGCCGAATGGATGTCAAATCGTGGATGTCGTCGCATCCCAATTATTGAATATGCAAGTCTCTTTAGGATGCCTCATGGCTCCCAGAGTCATCATCTCAACACACAAAGAAACATCATGCATCATGCAACCCTTCCTCCACACCCTTCCTGGGGTCAATTATGTGCGACAAGTCTCTGACTCTGACTGTGACCCTGACAGGTAAACTCGATGATAGACAGCTCCCAGTACCGCTCAGAGGCTTCCAAATAAAACATTTATCCAACGCCTGGTCAAACTTGACGCATCGAAAAAGAAAATATAGACGTGTCGCCAATGCGAATATATGTACAAGCAATGTATAATGTCGGCGACAAAATCTAGAAGATCGAAAAGTTGCTGCAAAGTTTCTGCAGACCCGGAAACCCAGACAAAAGAAAGAAAAGGAAAAGGCAAAAAAAAAAAAAAAAAAAGGAGTAATAAAATGATATACACGTCAGAATGGCGGAACGCCAATAAACGCGAGACGGCAACACCCTGCCAAGCACTCGCTCAAAACGAAGAATAGAATATATTATAGTTGCTCAAGATGGGGAAGGAAAGAAGAACTTTTTGCCCCGAAGCAGTATCAGATGTAAGGCGATATTAAATCGCCGAGGCCGCTCATTAAAAGGCACTCTGGGAGATAAGGAGGTGATGGTAGCAGATAGACAAGACCTATGATTTGTGGCTCATACGGAGTGCGGCTTTCTGAGGACCTGGGTGCTTTTTACCGATCATCAGGCCTTCATCTTCAGAATCAGACTCGGACTCGTTCTCATCGTCACAGTAATATCTAGACTCATCGTCTTCTTGCGACCGCCGGGGGCTTGACTGCCGAGCTTTGACGGTTTCGCCTGTGCGAAGAATGGAAGGCACCTGCATGGGGGGATCGGAGTCCTTTTCCTTGTCCTTGCCGGTCGGTCCGTAGTAGAAACCATCGCCCGAAAGAGATGAAGCTCCCGAGACGACGGATGGAATACTCGGGTGCGAGGCACTCTGAGACATGCTAGTGTAATCATCAACAGAAGAAGAAGAAATGGTAGCAGCAGATGGCGGAGAAGTGGTGAGACCAGGGTTGGAAGATTCCATGTGTGTACTAGGAATTGGACATTCTGTGGCCTTGGGTGGTGTGACTTGTCTCAAATTAAGGGAGTCGTTTGTGAATGGCTCACTTTCGACTTTGGACTTGGCAATTTCAGTACCATCGATGCTTTCCGGATCACTCTTTCTCTGACGCAGCAAAGCTTCTTTCGTGAGATGGAATGGCTCGATTGAAGAATGATGTTGATAAGATTGGTGGCGCCGGTGTGCCAGACTCGGTCTTGCTGAGGTCGGGCGTGGTGATGCAGAGTCTAGGCCAGAATTTTGCATCTGGCCGACTGCAGAAGCGACGCTCAAAGCAAGGGTAGGCTCACAGCGACGGTCTCCATCCAAGGAAACGGTATCAGCTGAGACCGATTTCTCGGAGCGCCAGTCACCCGTCTGAAGACCTCTGGCCAGCCGGCGGCTGGCTCCCCCAAAAAGACCACCGACATTGGTGGTTCCCAAAGTTTCCACAATAGTGGGTGTGCTGTCACGCTGTTTTGATAAGGGTACCGGAGTGGTGTCGTGTGGTTTGACTGTCTTTGCAGATTCTGCACTGGACAATGTCGAGGTAGCACGCTCCGGCGGATCGGGGCGTGATAGGCGGTCTTGAGAAGGGCAATGATGAGAAACAAAGTAACTCGTCTGTTCCTCTCGGCTCACCGGACTAGCGGTGACACTTTGAGACAAAGGGTGCTCTTTGGACGGCCGGTAGAAATCGTCGTCTCCCCTTGAGACGGGCCGACGGCCATTGTCCCACAAATATTTTCCAAAGCCATTGGTGGTCGACACCAGCGACTCGCTCGAAGGCCCTGTAAGAGCTGATCGTTTACGATTGTCCTTGTCTTTTGATCTGCCGGTGAGGTAGTTGGACCACTTGGCCACGTTCGACCGAACACGTTGGATGAACGGTACTTTGCTGACGGCAGAGGTGACTTCCTCGCTGGAGACCTCGATTCTCTTGCCCTTACTCTGATATCCTGGATCAGTCTCCTCAACCCATGCCCTAGGGTTGGGTAATCCATAGAGAACCCAAGGGTGATGCTTAATCTCCTTGACAGTGATGCGCTTCACGGGATCCTTAGTCAAGAGACGTTTCAACAAATCGAACAATTCATCATCAACATCCTCATACGCAAGTTCGTCTTCCATTCGCTTACTGTCGTTCATGCAGCGAGGCCATTGACTGACAGTATCGGGGTCATCCTCAACAGGCTTTAAGCGCTTCCGTGGGATAAACACCTCCTTTTTCACAATGGTTTGGAACATGCTGTATTCATCATCCGACACGAACGGCAGACGTCCAAAGATCATACCATAAAGGGTCACACCAAGGGACCAGACATCAATTGCACCGGTAATCCTCGGAACGGTGCCAATGGAATCCACAAAGTCGTCACCAGTGTAGCACAGCTCGGGGGCATAGAATGCAGGGGTTCCGACGGTTTTCGACAATTCTCGAGCATCGTCCAGCTCGGTAGCTGCGGTCTCCGTCACCCGTTCTTCTTCCTCATCCCTCATGGGACGCCCAAGATACGATACACCAAAGTCCGAGATCTTCACCCGGTAATTGCTAGTGAGTAGAAGGTTGGCAGGCTTGATGTCGCGGTGAATTATACCCTGATAATGAAGGTATTCCACACCGAGGAGAGAATCCCGGAAGGCGTTGCGTGCCTCACTAAGGGTTAGACATGGGACGTAGGACAGGTCATCATCATCCGAAGACCATTCCGGTTCGGACGGAGCATAACCAAAGCTGCTTGAAGCAGTACTAAAACGCCTCTCGAACCGGTCTTCCGAATAGGCGCCATACATACTGCCCTCGACTGCTGCCAGGCCTGATTCATGAGTTGAGGAAAATGACTGACTCGGGGATGGCTGGACATCCTCAGGACTCAGCATGGAGCGACTGGAGGTGCGGATGACGGTGGAATCGGCCTCCGCTTCCTCATCATCGGACTCTGCACCATGCTCCAAACTCCACGCGGGGATGGGACGCTCCTGTGCAGATGCGGCCTGCGCTTCAGCTCGTTCACGGGCCCTCTCTCGTTGACGGCGGAGATGCCTGGCAGTTCGCACATAGTGCTGGCTTTCCTCGAGGAACGAGGGGGAGTCGGAAATCCCAGCCTTCTCACGCTCGAGCCGTTGCTTATCGACGTGAATAATTTCCCGTAGTCCTTTTCTCCGCCAAATAATTTCACCGTTCTCGACATATTCCAGAACGATGTAAACCTTTTGACGGTTAGGGTCGTCAATCACTTCCAACAGACTGACCACGTTGGTATGGCGGGCCTTCTTGAGAATGGCAACTTCCTTCTTGACCTTATCCTCTGGGTTCCCAAGTTTGCCCAAACGTCGTCGTTTCGAGTATCGCTGGACGATCTTAATTGCCACCTGTTGCCGAGTTTCCACATGGCGACCTAATTTCACTTTGCCGTGTTCGCCGCGCCCAAGCTCCTCGAGAATTTCATACTGGTTGATGAGTTTATTCCCTGTAACGGTATCGCGGTCTACCTCGGCGGTGTGGGTTCTAGAGTCGACAGGTCAGTTTGATGCTCTGTCAATGACATGGTGATGGTCTCTACTCACTCTTTTGGTGGCTGGAGTTGTGTTGGGTGCAGATACGGACTGCTGATCCGACCTTCATCGTCGGAGCCAAAAGGCGTCGAGCGAGGACTTCTGACAGAGAATAGCCCGGGGCTGGACACGGGGGTGTTTCCTACAGTGCGGGCTGTACGCGTAGTGGGAAATCGAGTCTGGGGTTCGGTGTGAGATGGGTAGGAACTCCGGGGACGCAAGAATGGAGGTTGGTAGGTAGGGTGCACCTGGGACTGAAGGGAGGCATAGGATTGATCGGGATAGACGGGATAATCAGTAGACGGGCCATCCGATTGCCTGGATATCCGACGGGGGAGGGAGGGACGAGAAAAAACGCTGCGATCCGATCGGGCATCAACGACGGTATCTTCGTTCAACGCTTGTAGAGAGCTGGAGGAGGTGCGGGTTGAAGGTGTCCTGGAGGTCCCAGAAGAATGTATTATGTGGTGAAAAGACTGCCGAAGAGACGGTTGTTGACCTTCGGCCATATCGTTGGCGAGAGGGAGTTTGGCAGATGGTGGTCTGGTGACGCCGGAATCGGTTGAGACGGACGGCGGGGAATCTGAAACCTCGCCCGCCTTGTCCGATTTTCGTTTCCCAGGAGGCTTTCCATTATTCTTGGTCACCAAATTGACGGGCTCCTCCAGGCCAGCTATCGAGGGTGGCCGCTCGGTCATTTTCATTGTCTAGGGTGATGGTTGGGTTTTTTTATAATATCGAAAGACCTATACCGGAGTTGCCGTTGTGCATCCTCCAAGAATTCCCTTCTCTTGCTAAGCCTTCTTTTTTGCACCCCTCTGCTGATCCAATGAATCACTGATTCAAGGCGAGCTGACGAGAAGCTCTGTCGGTGCACACGAATGGAGCGGCATTACTCTCAGCGTCCAACTCAAGGATACCAGCAATGGCAGTCATGCGTGGGTGACTTGGGCGCCGAACAACGGAGGGGGAAGGGCGGGTTTGAGTCAAACCGGGGCGATAGACCTGCTATAGCACCAGGAAATACTCGACGGGAGGTAGAAAGCAAAAAGGAATCGAGCGATCGACCGGTACGGAGGAAGAGGAGAGGAAAGAGAATTGGTGCTGTTTGTTCGACTTCGGTCGGGGGAGTCTCGACCGATGGAATTCTTCAGGATAAAAAAAGTGAAAAAAGGAGCGTCTATGTATAGAAACAAGGGGAGGAGGGTGGGATAAGAATAAACGGAACCCCAACTGAAATAGGAGAAGCAATAAAAGGGCAAAAAATGAAACAACAAAAAAGGAGAATTTAAGAGAGATAGGAGGGAGAATAAGAGGAAGAAAATGGGGGGGTTATTTTGGTGGAGGGCGAAGTAGAAGAAAGAAAAAAAGAAAAGGTGGACGTGGATGGACAGAGAGGAAATGGAAATGGAAATGGAGATCAGGGAGGAAGAGAGAGAGAGAAGAAGTGGGAGGGACGTTTTGTCAGGCGGATGGAGGGGAGTAATAGCAATAATAATAGTATTACGCTGCATACAGGAGTGGGACTGGGACAGCGCAGTGGGACTGACCTTATTTAAAGGTCGACACTTAGGTTCCGTTGGGCTTGGTATATATATATGTGTGTGTATATGGATTATATAAAAGACGTGTTAAGAAGGCCAGAGTTCGAGGCATTATTCGATGATATACCAGATTATCTTATTTGATTCCATCTCGACCGTACCGAATTGTCACTTTCTTCGGCCGACCAGCCGATGGTCCGTGGGCGGATTTGCTTGGACCCTGGGTGGGGATCCTATCGCAGTGTCTTTTTTTCAACATCAACCAGAAGGAGATGGAATAAAGATAATTAAGGTCGGGAATACTTATGGTTCTGCTTGTCTAGGCCAGATATCTATTGATTATTCTCAACTGTTGTGGTATAGAAGAAGACTTCGATATCTGGAGTGGCAACAGAACAGCCATTACGTAGAATCTGGAAGACTGGGCCCAAGACCGTTACTTGTAAGGTTACAGTATATTACGGTATGATCCGGCCAAGTCATCGTCTAGACTCGAGTGGAGGACTTGGCTGGATAGAGTTGAGAAGCCAGCAGACATACATAATCGAATTATCCAATCTGGACTGTCATGTTGGCAGTATCTGTTCCATGGTTCATGACATATGATATCTCTATCATCATAATTTTATGAGACAGTAGGTGAACCTACATAGTGCTGTAGATATCTAGTACCTGATCAATATCAGGGATGTCATGCAGCCAATAACACGCCACAGCCAACAGACGGTCTGTCAAGATGCTGCTAGAATACCGTCGAATACGGAGGATTACTCTCCGCATGTTTCTTATCCATTCCAGACCTTTTTTATTTCTCCGGATATCGGATACCACCTACCTTACCAGATACTATTATGTAGTCTAGAATCTTCTATTTCTCTATCAACTGTCAACTGTCAGTATGCTCACTGATAGTATAGTACAGTATGAATATATGGATATAATGGATATGTAGATGAATTGCCACTAATATATTACGTCATGAAGGCCCGATAAGAGGTTGACTTTCTGTGGCAAATGTGTCTATACAGCCCAATGCTTCCAGGTTGATCCTTTTCCATACCCAAGAGGTCTCAACCCCTCAGTCATCCATATCCACTTGATTGGACGCTCAGGTCGAGTGATTTCTGCCTGAGGACGACTTTGTCGGATGCCTCCGTATTAAACGAGCTGGATCAACTTAAAATACGACATCTGATTACTCGGCCAGCACGCCGCTTGCCCTCTGGTTGGCCCTGCCGTGTCGGACCAAGCTTTTTGGCGTGTCGTGGAATGAAAATACTGAAGTCATTCGCAGAATTCCCTGTTTGGGATGCCTCCGTAGGCGAATATCATCCCCATCCCCAGCCCTTGCATTTCCATCCCAATCCGGTGCTTTACAGATGGTGCATTGACGCTAATTTCCCATATATCGACTGTTTTCTGTTCGTCCACCAATGCTGGCCATTCTCTTCTTCTCCAGAACTCCCGATTCACCCCGCATCGCCCCCGCTGGTCTACCTATCCTCAACGACAGTCTGGATGTACTCGCATGTATTCCTATGTATTCCTATGTACCTCTGTCCATAGGTACCCTAATGAGCTATCTGATTGCTTTCAATATAGGATCTAGTAATAATCATCTCGTCTATCCTCAAACGGGAGGTTGGCCTGCCAACGTTTCCTATCCACGGTTGCAGCATCCGACTCCACTACCGCAAACGGGCATTCTGTAAGAATCAGGAATGCAAGCATAATAATAATGATATTATTATTGTGGCATTGTTCAGAGGAAAGAACATGTATTTAATTATAATTCTCAATGCCATTCAGATAAACTACGATCTGTGGTTTCAGAAGTAAAACATCTCCACATGATTTTCCTCGATAAGATACACTCACTACTCCAGACTCCAGACTCAACATCTTCCAGATAAAAGAGATAAAGACAAGATCCATGCAAATCATCGATCGTCAAATCACCTCAAAAGGCTCAACATCCTCCTTTGTCAATTCCTGTTCTTGATCCACTCCATAGACAAAGTCGCTGATGTTGCCTGTGCAACCGCCCGTGTTTACCACTCACTGCTTTATCCTCACTTGCCCCTCTTCTCTCCACCAGCCAGCTTTTAATCTACGCTCAAATTAATTCGATCTAACCAGCCCCTCATCGTCGTTCTAAAGCGTCAATCCTTCTTTCAACATGATCTAGACTCGGAGCCGATCGGGCGAAACACGTTGATGCTTCTTGTTTACTGACTGTATCTACTCTACTGCTGCGTTGACCTCATGGTTGCTGCCTTTTCGCCCCTCTTCCCTTTCCCTTCCCTCTTCCATTTCTTCTCATTTCCTTTTATCTGTACATAATTAATTCATCGTCGCCTTTTCTCTTCTTTGCTACTCCCTAGATCATCAATAATTTACTGCATTGACCGCCATTCAAGTCTCCATGTCGGCCCCTCCTTAGGGTCTGACTTGCTCCTTCTCTGACTCGTCTGAGCTAACAAAATCGACGGTCTCTCTAGATGCATCTCGGACTGTCTCAGACACATTCTGAGACAGCTGCATCGAGGCCCAATTGAAGCTCTGGTGTTTCATCCAGCTATGGATGGCCGTTTGATGCTGACCAACAGAATGATCTGCAATGCACCGTCTCTTCTCCTCCACCTATTGTCGGTTCTTCTTCCCATCCAGCTCATCCAGCTCATCCATCCTGTGTCTGCCGTCATTCCTTACAGCTCCTCCTACATTTTACCTGCCCCCCGGCATAATGAATCTCTCGCCTACGTGCTCCGGCCCAGCAGCAACTCAGACCGCAGGACTACCGAATTCCTTTCCCTGGATGTTTCTGGAGATGTCGACTCTGCTAGCCCGCAGTACACTGTGCTGCTAGATGAAACCCCCTTTCAAAGCGACGGCCTTGAATCTTCCTTCATTCCTGTCATCGATCGACATGGCATTGTCAAGGTTCATGCAGGCAGCTGTCAGAATGACTCAAATTTGGGGGTCGTTTGGCAGTTCACGCCCGATAATAGCAGCTCTATAGGCAATGGTACATGGCAGAAGCTTGCTGTGAGTACTGCTGATGGAACAACCGACCCTAACCTCCATGGGCCCAACTTCCTCGCTGCCGGGTTTACTTACGCGTCAACCAATACCACTGACAGTTTCATCTACACTTTTGGTGGAATGTGTCCGTTTCACGACCAGTCTGGCCAGAGCTGGATGTCGGCTGCTAGCTACTCCCAGTCAATGACCGTTTTAAACTCCCTCGACAGTTCTCCCAGCGCCAACACTGCTTATCGGATTGCAACCACTGGACATCGTGCACCTCCAATTCCAGAGGCAGGATTCACCATCACTCCGTTGCAGGCTACCTACGCAGCTACCTCGACTGGCAGTACGATACAACAACAGGATTTTCTTCTTACTGGAGGACAAACCCAGCAGGCCTTTATCAACATGTCTGAACTTGCCATTTTTTCTCTACCACATGACAGTTGGAGTTTCGTCACGGTAGAATCAGAGCTCGACGCAGGGAAAGCTGAACTGGCCCTCCGGGATACCATTACAATTGAACCAAGATCTGGCCACACCGCTGTCCTCACACCAGACGGTAGCAAGGTGGTTGTGTTCGGAGGCTGGGTGGGCGACTCCACTGTCCCTGCCAGCCCGCAGTTGGTAATCTTGGAAATTGGAATGGAGTACGGGGGATCTGGTCCATGGACTTGGAAGATTCCATCCACAACCGGTTCTGGTCTAGCCGGAGGCGCTGGGATATACGGGCACGGTGCGACAATGCTTCCCGGTGGCGTCATGATGGTCACCGGCGGATACAGTATATCGCAGTCTTCCAAACGCTCTACAGCCAGGAACAAACAGAACTCGCAGGTCTACTTTTTCAATACAACCTCAAACAGCTGGGACACCTCATATACAAACCCAAGCTATCAAGCAGCTCGAGCATCCAAGTCAAATTCTAAGTCACGAAAAACTGGGCTCGGGGTAGGTCTTGGGCTGGGTATACCTGCTGTTACTGGTATAGCAGTTTGCGGTTGGTTATACATGAAAAGACAAAAAGTACGTCGCCGGAGGGATAATGAATTGCGCAAGCTAGCCCTTGGGGCGCAACGATCTCATTTCTGGGGCCGGGATGATCCCAACATGGCAAGCAGCATTCGTGGTCCGTCAATGAGAGGAAACGACTCCCCAATATCGTGGGCGAATAGCCAAAGGCTTAGCTGGCAAGATGCTGGCGAGGGTAGCGCTGAGCGTACTGGTCTTCTGCTTGATATACCCAGTCCCACGAAGAGTAGTCGACAGAGCTTGAACAATAGATCACGCAGGTACTCCAACTACAGTGATCTCCGGAGAAGTGATCCCGTTAGTGACATCCATCCTATTGATGAACGCGAAGAGGACGAGGCGGTTGCAACAGAGGACCCAGCGAGTCCCACCCAGCAAACTGACCAACAAGACCTTGAACGTGCGGAGTTTCTGACGCCTCAAAGCACCAATATTGGTAATCGACTTAGTATTCGTGCTGCGGCTCGAAGTATGGAATTTCGACCTAGCCTTTTGCCCCAGGGCAAAAATGGACGATCCTCTCCAGACAGAGATAACCGCACGCCGTCAAACCTGTCAGAGGCGTCTGCCAATTCATCGTCGCCCGACCCGGGGGTTGCTCCTGAGCCCCGGTCTACCACCTTGGGTATCCCATCGAGCTCTTCGAATAATGGGCGCCAATCGCCAGAAAAGCCCGGATCGGCATCCATCCACAGCAAAGAAACTACGCGAAGCAGACCCGACAGTGCAACGATACCAACCGATAAACGCTACTCCTCGGATTCCTACTCGACAGCACAGTCCACATTTTCCCATCGACAAGCTGAAGGAGAACGTCTGCTTGGTGAAGATACTGACCTGACCATACCCTTCGAAGAACCGAACGAACTGCCACTTGAAATACCGAAAACACCGCGTAAAGTATCGATCGATCTATCGCCCAAAGTGGCTACCATCCCAAAGCCCAAGACTCCAGAGTGGATGGGAAGCATTCGAAGAGTTCTTTCTGGCCGAAAGTGGATACTATCTGACAAGGACTCCGGGATTGCACCCATAGCTTCAGGGGTTGACCGCAGGAGCACGGTTCTCGGGTCGTCAAAAGCATCTGAGAACTCTGAGAACGGTATAGGAACTCCACGAAGAGCAGTTAGTGCATCGGCTGAACTGTTTCGCCGCAAGCAAGGAGCAAAGGATTGGGCAGCAACCGATAGACCTTCAGGCGAGACCCTTTTCCAAACTGCTAGGTCCACGCGTGATAATGTCGCCCTGGACGGGCTGATGGATGCCGAAGAAGATAGTGAGTGGGATGTCGAGGGTGCAGCTGAGGGCAGGCGTGTTCAAGTCACCTTTACTGTCCCGAAAGAGAGGTTGAGAGTAGTAAATGCTACAGCTGGAGACATGGATAATGTATCCGAGAGATCAGCCAGTCGGAGTAACAGTGGCACAATTCGCGAAAGGACAGTAAGCAGGTAACTTACTGTCGATATTCTTTTCTGCGAGGGTATTTCCTATTCTTCGTTGAAGTGGCTTTTTTTCCCGGAGTTTCTGAGTGAGTCGATACGTTCTGATGACGAGATGTACGTTTATGTCCATTCTTTTTGTTGATTGGGTTTTTTTATATCCCTGTTATCCAGAGTTGGATAGCCTTTTTTTTGCATTTCCCTTCTATTATTGTTATTATTGCTATCTTATATTGGCCTGTTTGTTCTCCGGAGCCAGATTATGTGGATACTCATGATGATGAAGTGACGAAGACAAAGACTTGGTTTGGTCATGTTAGCCTGGACGGATTTTATTGGAGAAAATGGGAGACTTCTGGAGGAAATGATACGCCTTATAAGAGGCTGGGCCCATAGAGTAGTTTGACTGATCCAACAATGCAATTATCGAGTTTGGTTCTTCTTTTGCTACTTCGTAGTTCACTGGTTTTCTATAGTTTTGAGGTTACATGGAGATTTGCTGAGAAATATGGCACTATCAAGTCTAACTATTTTTTGAGGATAGGATATATGAAATTGAATCTATGACAAAAGGGAAAAAGGGAAACATCATTCATAAAATAATAATCACGCATCAAACATCAACATCAACGTCAACATCCGTAGATAGACCGAAAATTCTGGAATATGCATTTCAAAAATAGGAAATTTTTGGCTCTAAAACTGAAAACGAGCTGATATTAAAACTTATGGTTTTTCTCCTGTTTTTTAAGCAGATGCATCGGTTTTACCAAGCGTGGGGCGAGTTGGAAGGGTGTTGGACAAAGGCGGGAGGAGGTTCTTCGCGCTCTCGCGGGCGTACTGTGCCATGAGGGCATCCATGACGACCAAAGAAGACATGGCTTCGACGATGGGGACAGCACGGGGGACGACGCAGGGGTCGTGACGGCCCTTGGCTTCCAGGACACCTTCTTCGAAGTTGTATTTTGTGGTGTTTTGGGCCTGACCGATAGTGGCTGCGGGCTTGAAAGCGACGCGGAAGTAGATGGAGGCTCCGTTGGAGATACCACCCTGGATACCACCCGAGTTGTTGGAGCTGGTGGTCAGACGCTGCTTGGTGCCGTCGCGGGTTTGCACTTCGGTAGCGACGAAGGGGTCGTTGTGGATAGATCCGGGGACTTCACAGCCGCCAAAGCCAGATCCAATTTCGAAGCCCTTGGTGGCGGGGATACTGAGCATGGCGTGAGCGAGCTTGGCCTCGAGCTTGTCGAAGCAGGGCTCGCCCAGTCCGACTGGGACGTTGCGGATCACGCAGGTCACGGTACCGCCGATGCTGTCGTGGTTGTCCCGGAAGTGCTCAATCACCTTGGTCATGCGTGCTGCAGCCTCCTCGCTAGGGCAGCGGGTCGGGGCGAACGAGTCTACCGTGTTGCGGTCGATCTTCTCGACGAGGTTCAGGAATTCGGGGTTGGTCGACGGGGTTGGGTGTTCGGGAGTCGGGGGGAAGAGGTGTTCGTTGCCCACCGATGAGACAAACGCCACGATCTCAACGTTGTGCGAAAGAGTGAGGTACTTTTCCGCGATAGCACCGGCAGCAACACGGCCTGGTAACGGAGTTAGTATTGCTTTTCTTCTGTTTTGAAACTTCCATCACACCCACCAATTGTCTCTCGGGCACTGCTACGGCCACCACCACTGCTGGCCTTAACACCGTATTTCTCCAGGTAGGTCAAATCGGCATGGCTGGGACGAGGGTACAAGTCCATCGTGCTGCCACCGTAATCCTTGGGTCTCTGGTCCTCATTGCGGACCACCATGGCAATTGGGGTTCCCAGGGTGACACCAAACTCCGTTCCCGACTGAATCTCTACCCGGTCCTTTTCATTGCGAGGAGTAGTCAAAGCGCTCTGGCCTGGACGTCTGCGAGTCATCTGAGGCTGGATGTCGTTCTCCGTAAGTTCCATACCCGGGGGGCAACCGTCAACGATGCAGCCGACGGAGCGGCAGTGGGATTCACCATAGCTAGAAAGAACGCATATGTTAGATCGTTTGATTCTTTTCATGGGGCTCTTGACAGAAGAAGCAAAAACATACGTGGTGACCCTGAAGTGTTCTCCCCATGTCGACATGATGCGATGTTTGGCGGGGTATTTGGTGGGCGGTGGTGTGAGTAATAGTGACAAGAATCAGAGGATTTTTCTTCCAAATCAGACAGCGAAATCCAAAACCACAAGGAATTGAGATTGTAGATATGAATTAATGTCAGCCTTTTAATGCAAGGAATAAACCCCAAAAGAAAAAAAAGCACAGGGATGGAAATGATGCTCTGACTGTCCGCGAAGAAGCGGGAACTTTTTCTAAGCAGGACACTTGCCTATCTGGGCCTAGTGTGCCCGACGATCGGAGTCGCTTTGTTGAATATCATCATGTGGTTTCACGAGCCATGCAAATGACGACGGCGATGATGCCATTGTGCCCGTGAATCTCTCTCAATGCTTCTTCTACGACGAGGGCCATGTCTGCGGTCATCGTCTTTGACCACCAGGCAGTATGTTAGTGGTCTTTCGACCGTCTTTGCTCGGTGCAACTCCTCCTTCGCCACCAACGACTTTGCGCTGCTGGCCAGTCGCGAGTCCTCCCGGAACCAGATCTACCAATCCCTTTCGTCGGACCCCTACGTGAACCTATCCATTGAACATTTTTTGCTGGAAAATGCACCGTCAGACTCGAATATCCTGTTTCTCTACATCAACCGACCATGTGTTGTCATTGGGCGCAACCAGAACCCATGGCTTGAGACCAACCTGCGAGCCCTCTATAATGACCGTGTGAAGGACGGGGAACAGAGAAATGATGAGGAGGACGCAGTCTACGTCCGGCGTAGATCTGGAGGAGGCGCCGTCTTTCACGATGAGGGCAACCTGAACTACAGCGTCATTTCTCCACGCACGACGTTTACACGCAATAAACACGCGGAGATGGTCGTACGGGCATTACACCGAACTGGAGCTACAAACACGAGCGTCAATGATCGCCACGATATTGTCATCTCGAATGAGGGGCCTATCGACCCATCTGAGCCGCAGACGCGGAAGATTTCTGGTTCGGCGTTCAAGTTGACAAGATTTCGAGCTCTTCACCATGGGACCTGCTTATTGGATTCTCCCAACATCAATGATCTCGGTGCGTTCCTACGGTCGCCTGCACGGGGATACATTCAGGCGAAGGGTGTCGAGAGTGTTCGATCACCGGTTGCAAATGTCTCGTCCGTTTTTGCAGATGCCTTAGCGCCTTTCTCTATCCAGGCGGTGATAGCCAATATCATGGAGGAGTTTGCACAATTATATAAAGTTAACCCGGATGCTGTTCGCCGGGGACAACGGGCCCATGCAAATGATCCCGAACTATTTGCCGGAGATGACTGGGTTGCAGGGACTGTTGGGGATTTTCAAACAAGTGAGCCTGAAATCAGGAAAGGACTTGATGAGCTGAGGGTAAGTTCAACTTGAACGACCAAATTAAAAGGGCACTTATTAAAACTGCGACTAGTCATTGGAATGGAAATACACGCAAACACCGCAGTTCACCTTTTCTACGTTTCCCATTGAGGAGGATCCTCGCGAGAGAGAGCCGCTGCCGTCGTCTCTGCCACCCTCGGTCAGTAATATCTTACAGCCCTCTTCTTCCTGTTTTAAATCTCTAATGATCCTTCTACAGACACGTGTATTCCTCCGCCTCAAACACGGTGCAATTATCGAAAGCCAAGTTTCGATTTCGTCGGACCCGTCCGTAGCATCCGAACAAGCAATCCAAGTGCATCAAGCCTTGAATGGGAGAAAGCTACACGAGATCCAAATACCACAGTGGAATAAAATCCTGAGGAACTTGGGCGCAGAGGCCGATGCCAACATTGTACAAGAACTCTCACGCTTTATCGGCAGCAAGTTGGGCTGTGATTAGCATCATGACCTCTGATGAATTACTCTTCTGTATAATAAGACCAGTTGGATAGACTTTGAACATTAATGTGGGGATTGGAATCCCAATCTAGACACCATCTCTTTCAATCATATGATATGAATCTATGATCGTATTGCATACTGCACAAAAGCACACCTCTTCTCAAATCCCTTGCATGTACAGTATTGTATTCCTTTGTCATAATAAACATAATACAGGAAATTCGAAGAATGCAACATTGGAGAAAGCTAAACCAAACATGCGCTGTGCCGCGTGATGGCTAAACAAGATAAACAAGTAATCAACAGATTTCCCCCAAATATTAACAAGATTGAAGCTATTTCCACAAGGGAGTCAATCTCTCGGTTCGCTGAATCCCAAACAGCTTAAGCGGCAGATATTCTCATTCTGGATCGAATTGATGTCTTTAAGAGGCCATATCTGATCGAGGTTTGTCAGAGTATATTAGGCCCATGGTCAGATTATCATCTATGATATAACCCCACAGTCCGAGTAACTCTTTTTTCGGCATGTCGTTGAATGAGATTCGCCCACTGCCGAGGCCGATCAAATGTGATTTGTGTTTCGAGTAAAGATCGATGTAATGATGTTCCAAGTAGCCTCTGCCATCCGGTATATCCAGGTCGCTACCAGCTAATTGGTGGAAAGTTGTACGAGAATCTTCACCGGTCAAACCCGGGAAGCCAAAGGATACTTCCAGCAGACCACGCTCACCTTGGGTAAGGTTCAGGTTGGAAAGCTTCTTATAATCTTCCAGTGACACTTCCCGACCGGCGTCTCCATCCGTTAAACCAATAGTGCGGGTAGCACCGGATCTGTAGGTGAATACTAGACCTGTGATGTATTTGACGGTGTAGATGAAACTTCGACGTGCGGAGACGCTGACAACCGGATCAGGTTGGCCATTTTGGTCAGCCTCTTGCCATAAGACTCTCTCCGGGGCCCTTAGTTGAGGCTTTTCACAAGATATAGTTGGGTCCCAGAGCGAAATGTGTTCCAGGTCTGTGGTTGAGGACAGTACAACTCGAGGGTGATCATGTTTAGTATTGAACACCCAAGCAAGCCCAGACTATATAATTTGAATCCAGTAGTTAGCCATGACCATTTGCATGTACATAGTATTGGCCTTACCAGTTCTTCAAGTCTGTTTGACCGGGCTTTCATTTGGATGTATCCCTCACTGGGGGTGGATTCCATTGTTTGGGCTGTCTTTGACTGCATGTGAGATGTCAAAATCGACACACTCACAACCCTAATAGTATCACTGATGGAAATGTATCTTGGATGCGTGACTAATTTTATGGATAATTCGATGACCTTCTCGCCCGGTTGGAGGCACATCGAATCAACTTCTTTGAACCATTGGCCTACAATTTCAGAGGGCCGCGAGTCAAAATACTCCAGCCATAGTCCTGATATTTCTTTTGGTTCTCGAGGATGGGTCAGTATTCCAGACGAGAAGCGAATACACTTGACATTATCCAGAGAAGCGTGTGTATAGCCCACGCAATGCCTATGTCCCCTGTCCCCTAAGGAAGTGATATCATCTGAGAGACATATTTCAGCGGCAGATTTAAGAGCATTTTTAATGATTTTTCGATCACCAGTCTGTGCTTTTGATAGACGACTGCACTGCAACCCAAGGGTTTGGAAGCCATTCCTCCTGACCTAGAAAAAGTGAAATGTGAGAAGCTAGAACATCAAACGTGGAGTTCCTTTACTCACATCTATAATTGACGTGAGTCCCGTTATAACCTGCCCTTCTGGGGCTAGCAGTGTGTGTTTGGTGAACAACTGGTCCAAAGATGGCGAGCCTTCAGGAACCGATGGAGGCCCACTGGGCTTAAGTTTGATATGTCTTCTAAAATTGGTATAGAACTTAGTCCATGAGGTTAGTTTTCCTGGCCATGTATGAAGGGGAATAAAGCTGACAGACCTCAATAGACCAAATGCCTGTCCAAAAAGAAGCTTTCTCATGATCGGGTTGTTCACATGTAACTCGCGAGATTCTTTCGCCTCCGGGCCCGTCAATAAGGAAAGAAATCTCAATGTCACTTCGTTTTCCAAATAGTAGACACGGTTCATTTAGATCATATTCAAACATTAGGCCGGTGAATACAGGCTGGCTGTCGCCCAGATGTGCAACTATTCGCGTGAGCTTGTCCAAATTATAAACCCCAGTCGACCCAAAATCAATATTCAGGATTACATTATATTTTTGACGGCTAGGAAAGACAGGTTGGGGGACAAGCAGGACCGTTTTTGCGGGCTGGCATGGCATCCATAGTGGTTGCAGAATGAGACCTTTCATATCAAGGCTTTCTGGGGCTGATGTATGAGCATCGGGTATGTCGAAGAAGCTCTGGGTCTCAACCATCGCAAGCGCAATCATCTTGAAAGCCTTGGAGAAGGAATTTTTTAGCGAACGTCACATAAGTATCAGAAAGACGACTCACATCAAAACCAGCAGCCAAGTCGATAAAATATTGATCATTTTCCACAGGCAAATATCCGAATGCGATGTCTCGGTCTATACTTCCATCTCTCCCTACCCATGCAGAAGGATATCTGCGAGAGCCAACCTCCACGATTAGTCGCATACCGACAATTCCGGTTTCGCAAGTTGCCAATTCAAATCCAGCGAAGCTCTCCTTTGGCAAAAGTTGTAACTGATGCTCAGTAGACGTTACCACACGACCTAGAGAGTGAGATACAAGCATTGCAGAATTGTCACCATCCTGGGTGAGCAAGCGAAGACCCGAGATGTACAATCTCGAGTTGAAAATGCAGGTAGAAATACCAACTGAGCGGATTTTTTGAGGCATTGACCGAAGCAGAAGACGCCTAGTGTATAGTTCACGACTGCCGGTATACACGTGTTTATCGTATTGATCCATAATTTCTGTTCTGATAAGCTTACCGGGTCGAGTCTTTCCAGTCCCTGTAAACTGCCTAGCATCATCCCAAGACATTGACACACCCTGTAGGCAAATGTCTTGTACATACAGCTCATAGGCCTCGGTATTCTTGCCAATTCTTTGCCATACTCTTCTTCGATTTGATACACGTCCGCATCCCCGGTGGACACCTAGTTCATGTCTGAGGAGGAAATAAAGCTCACGCCAGTCCTCGCATTTGCGAATGTTTTCAGGCAGGGCGAACCCCATCTCGAGCTCAGGTAGGAACCGACTTTTCCAAAAGAATTGTGGCAAGTTTTTTGTCAGGGATCTGTCAGCAATCGCTCGGGATGCTAAGCGCAGGTGGCAGACATCAACAGACGGAAGCGAAGATAGCAACAAGTGAGCAATCTCAATAGGTAGCTTGGAAAAGATATCTAAGGAAATTTCCGGTGTGAAGAAGGCGTTTCTTTTTTCAAGGCGCCTCAGTGTTTTTAGCCCTACTTTTGAGCAACAAGAGAGGATCTCTTCCACGCTTTCGAATTTCAAGGGTGCGTGCATGAAATAAGTACATCCCATTCGCATCATTTCATGCCAAGGGTCAGTAAATTCGCGCAGAGAATCTGCTTTATCGTCATATACATTTCCTGATCGAAGGAGACTAATGCTTGAGCAATACCGTACGTTAGATAATGCTGTCGCCAGAGACTTAACGTGCGAGGGATTACTAGATATCCTTTCCCGCAAGACACCCCAGCAGACTTCATGGAATGCGAAGGTATAAGCCTCGTCCTCAGCATCATAGCTTATTCTAAATGAATCCAGTAAAACATCAGGGGATAGATATGATTGTGATGGATCCTGTGGTCCAAAGAACTTGATTATTCCAGGTTGAACTGGGTTCAGGTATCCAATCCCGGTAAGGATTGAGGTATTTTGTGAATCAAAATATCTTACTGCATAGATAATAATGTGAGAAAAGAACACGACCAAGCAAGCTCACACGACTCTATACGAACCGGTTCGTGCTTCTTCATCCCAATCCATCCCCTCAGTGGGTTCACGTAAGGCGCAACGAATGGGAATTCCACATATTGAGCAAAATTTCCTATCCATTTGGTCTCAGGTATAGTATCCCCATAGAAAGATACTCCGGGTATCGTGATACTCTTTCCCGGAGGCGTCTTAATTGACTAACCCCAAGGGACTCGAATCAAGGAATTTGTAAGACAATTGGCCCTCGGCATGGAATGCTTCCGGCAGTTGAACGGCCTCAGATACGAGCAAAGATCGGCACTTGGATCCGCCAGGATTGTTGGATGTAGGAATGTGCTTGATAAGGTCGTCCATGCTGTCATGGTTCTCCAACTGGCGGTCAGGTGACTGCGTGTGATATGTTATCATGTGACCGGTCTCTTCTGACTGCTTTCGGACTGATCGAGACACAACCAAAACACTACTGAAAAAAAAAAAAAAAAAAAAAAAAAAAAACAAACAAACACGAGCTTCCCATAAGAGTTTCCATGCATCTCATTCCCAGCTCGTTCTCCAAGCTCGAGGTAGCTTGTAGAGACGCCTTATTGGTGGATAATGGGAATTCCACGCATCAGAGCGATTGAACTCTCCTGATATCCTCACCAAGAATGTGACCAAGATCAGCCGTCTTCTGGCTTCTATTGGCAGCATCAGCTTCTTTCCCTGCTGACTGTGGGCTTTACTCTCTGCTTACTGCTTTCCCCGCATCTCCTTTCCGTTCTTAATATCCGGTTAAATGGACGGCTTTAATAGAACCCTTTCTATCCAGCCAATGGCATCACCATCCTCCCTTTAATGGATTCATTTTAGATTCGTGGTATCAGTCTCCTAAACAGGATTGCTCATATCCTTCCCCTCTATGTCCCGGATAAAGAGGACGGTCGGTCAGGCAGCCGAAGAAAAGTTGTCTCGACTACCTGGTCTTCGGACTTCCTGGCGATCTACTCCCTCTTTCTGAAAGATTATGGAAGACAAGAGCGGGGGAGGGGGTTATTATTTCTATTCATGACAGACAGAACTTTCTGTCAAAATGATCAGGCCAATTCTACTCAGTTTTCCATCCTTCCAACAGCAGTCGAATCGTTAATGAGCTCATCCAGCGGAGTTGATATTTAAGATGTCTGTGCAAGCAAATGGAAAGACTCCTACCCAAGCATTCAGCCAATGCCCATTTCGCACGCGTAGTGACTTTCAAGATGCTTGCCAGGCGCTTCTCGATCCGCTGGTCTCACGCTTGACTCCGGGATGCACCCGTGTGAAAATTGGATCCTCAACAACTCGATTCGACGAATCTGGCGCTCAAATTGAAGGTTTTGCACGGCCTCTTTGGGCCTTGGCTTCGTTGGTCGGAGGCCGTCATCAATATGCTGAGGCGGTACGTTGGAGGGAAGGGCTCATCAATGGAACTAATCCCGAAAGCCCGGAATTCTGGGGGGAGCTTGAAGATATTGATCAGCGCATGGTTGAAATGTGCCCTATAGGGTTTACTCTAGCTGTTGCACCGCATTTCTTCTGGGATCCCTTGACGGATAAACAAAAGGAGAACGTTGCGAATTGGCTGGCTAGCATTAACGCACGAGAGATGCCAAATACCAATTGGTAAGTAGTTTTTTTCTTTTGGCTTCTTTCCACCTGAAGGACTGTAACAAGTATTCTTACAACGAATATCTTATACAGGCTATGGTTCCGGGTGTTTGCAAATCTCGGTCTTAGGACGAACGGGGCGCCCTATTCTCTGTCACGCATTGAGACCGATATGGATCATCTGGATACTTTCCATCTTGGCGGTGGCTGGAGCAATGATGGGCCAAAAAGTCACCATCAAATGGATTACTACTCAGGTTCTTTTGCTATCCAGTTCCTGCAACTTCTCTACTCGAAGTTGGCAGTAGATTTCGACCCAGAGAGGGCAGGTAGATACCGAAACCGTGCAAGGGATTTCGCGAAGGACTTTGTGCATTATTTCGACCCGGATGGTTAGTGAAAATATGTTTCCATTAGTGATAAAACACATTTACCCAGGATACTAATTTCCATGCCATTGTACTCACAGGAAGCGCCATTCCTTTTGGGAGATCCATGACATATCGATTCGCAATGGTCGGCTTCTGGGGAGCTCTGGCTTTCGCTGATGTTGAGCTTGCCGCACCTCTTACTTGGGGTGTCATCAAAGGTCTTTTATTGCGACACTTTCGCTGGTGGGCTACCCAGGAAGATATCTTCAATAGCGATGGAACCCTTAACCTCGGATATTCTTATGCCAACATGTATCTCACGGAAAACTATAACTCCCCGGGCTCCCCATACTGGTGTTGCTTGTCTTTCATTCCGCTATTGCTGCCTGAATCGCACCCATTCTGGGCGACTAAGGAGGAGCCCTATCCTTCCTCTAGTCTTCCAGAAATAGCAGCCTTACGATACCCCAAGCACATCGCCATTCGTCGCGGAGGGCATTCATTTCTGTTGTCTTCCGGGCAGGCCTGTCACTATCCACTCAAGGCCACTCACGCCAAGTACGGCAAGTTCGCATATAGTTCCTCCTTTGGATACTCTGTGCCAACTGGGTCCTATCAGCTGGAGCAACATGCACCAGACAGTATGCTTGCTCTCTCAGATGATGAAGGGGAAATCTGGAAAACACGCAGACTTGCTATTGACGCTCGCTTTGAATGGCAGAACAATGTGCCTATCTTGGTCTCTAGCTGGAAACCATGGCCTGATGTCGAGATTGAGACCTTCCTTATCCCAACAGTAGAAGGATGGGGAAATTGGCATCTTCGTGCCCATCATGTGCGTACGGGGCGGGAACTGTTGACTTCTGAAGGTGCATTTGCCATTTACGGATGTCGGCATGACAACGGTCGAATTCTGGGGCCTTTGACAAGCAGCTCTTCAGAGGGAACGATGCAGGAGCCTCGCCGTGCACTCACCGTTTCCTCTGCGGGTGCTGTAGGCATTGTTGAACTTCAGCCAGCCGTTTATCGGGAAGGAAAAACAGTACTGGCTGATCCTAATTCAAATCTCATGCACGGCCGTACTCTATTACCATCTTTGGGGGCACGTCTGGGAGCCGGGACCCAGTGCTGGTTTGCAACGGCAGTCTTTGCTTTGCCTGCCGGCGATGGCAATAGTTGGCAGGAAAGGTGGCCAAGGGATTGGGAACAAAAGCCACCCATTCCAGAGTGGCTGTGGAAAAGAATAGAAGCCGATAATTAGGGCTTGATTGGATGGACTCGTGTAGTTCTAGCTGAATTTATGGAAGACCATTGTTTTAGAGATTGACTGAGATCCCAGTGGCACCAGGTTGAATAACACCTCTTCCTGATCATCAGATACTACCTAGACATGGGTGTGTTTTGCTTTGACAGGTAATCTATATCCCATAACGTGACTCGTATTCTCCGCGCGCAGATCCTCCAGTCGATGATGTGTTGCTTCCCCGCAAATGTCACCTCTCTTCCCTGTCCAACTGCCCTGGACGAATGACCTTCATGATCCCGCCATCTTTCTCTCTCTTGGCTGTCTTTCTATCCCGTCTGCATCAATCCAGATACTAGCCAGGCTCTAAATGGCCAGGTGAGCACTGATCGGTCTGCTTCTATTCGTTACTTTGCAATGTATCCCAACATTCATGGCCCATGGCGCTGGCCTTCTGGTCTTAGCCCAGAGGCAAAGTAAGGTCGTTATCCCACCACCCAACTTCCCTAAAGAATTACCATGGAACTAATCCTATCTTTCTCCCGACAGGCTGAAAACTCCTCGACAAGACAATTCCACCCCCACTCTACCTTCTCTCCAGCAGAGCCATGGCTTCCGCAAACACATCCAGGCCACGAGCTCAAAGCGGCCTCGGCAACACAAGCTGAAAACTAGTCGTCCCGTTGCTCAATGGGATTCGTGGATTCTTTTGACTGTTTTCTCGCTCTATTTTCTCCGTGGTTGGCAAAGTCTGTCTCTCTAATCCGCCAGAACTGCTGATTCAGAGATCGATATTCCAGTCGTCGAGCATATCGTCTCTTCTTGTTTAATAGGCACCTACGGCCTGGGATACAAATATAATATCCCGCCTGTCTTCTGCCTTGGTACCGCTGGGAACTACGGTAGACAGGCTCTGTCAGATAGTCCTTCTTGTTTTCTTTTTTCTCTCTCAAATCTAGGCTGGGCTCAGTTAAGAGAATCTTGTCAATTACAACACTATCTGCTTTGTTAGTTACAGACAACATATATTTGGTGGAGATCACTTTGTAAGTATGCCGGGACTTCTCAGTTTAATCGTTCGCAATGATGCGATGCGATCCGATCCGAAAGAGATCTATGGTTGGAGAGTCTACATGCTCGCATGCTCGGTCAGTCCCTTCCCCAGGAAAATAGATCGAGACAAAATCTCATGCTCAGTTGCAGGCATGTTTTGGTGGTATGCTCTTCGGTATGGAAACTGGGATTATCGGGGGAGTCCTCACCATGGATCCCTTTAAAGAGTAAGCTTCTGCCTTAGTTGTTTTACATCAAGCAGCTCCTGACATATCCCCAGCAAGTACGGCTTGCAAGGCCTCAGCGACGTAGCAGAGGCAAACCTGTCTGCCAATATTGTATCCACACTGCAAGCAGGGTGTTTCTTTGGTGCTCTCATTGCCTCTCCAGTGGCCGAGAAATGGGGAAGGAAATTCTGTCTAATACTGGCATCTATCCTCGCCATCATTGGTGTCGTCATGCAGGTTGCAGCCAGCGGTCATTTGGAGGCTATGTACGTTGGAAGGTAAGGGAGCCTTGAGAGCATCCTTTTTCATGTCACCGGCTAGATCTGACCTACTTTTCCTAGGCTGATTAACGGGTTTGGGGTCGGTTTTGCCTCAATGGTCAACCCACTATACGTTTCGGAGAATGCCCCCAGAGCTATTCGCGGCATGTTGACGGGGTTATATCAACTTTTTATCACCACAGGAATCATGCTTGCTTTTTGGATCAATTATGGTTCATTGCTTCATATTAAGGGCGCTGCCATGTACCTGGTTCCCTTGGTAATGCAGGCTCTACCGGCACTTCTTCTGTTATTGGGCATGCTATTATGCAATGAGTCCCCTCGTTGGCTGGCGAAGCAAGACCGCTGGGAAGATGCCAGGGCCACTCTGTCTAGAGTACGAAGTCTACCTTCTACTCACCCCTATGTCGAGAACGAGTTCCAGGATATCGTCAACCAGCTTGAACTAGAGCGTCAGATTGTCGGTGGCTCCGGTTTCTGGGATCTGATGAAGGAGATGTGGGTGATTCCTGGAAACAGGAAGCGAGCGATGATTAGTGTCTTCCTGATGGTCTGCCAGCAGATGACGGGAACCAACGCAATCAACTACTACGCTCCTCAAATTTTCAAGAACCTAGGCGTCACCGGCAATGCAACCAACCTATTTGCCACAGGTGTCTACGGTATCGTCAAGATGGTCGGCTGTGGCATATTTTTGGTCTTCGTTGCCGACTCCCTCGGACGACGACGATCCCTCCTCTGGACCTCCGTTGCCCAGGGTCTTGCCATGCTCTATATCGGTCTCTATGTCCGTATAGCCCCTCCCGTGGAAGGCCAGCCCGTCATTCCTGCTGGATACGTCGCCCTCGTTTGTATTTTCCTCTTCGCTGCCTTCTTCCAATTCGGCTGGGGTCCCGTGTGCTGGATCTATGTCGCCGAGATCCCTACGGCTCGTCTAAGGTCTCTCAATGTCTCGTTCGCAGCGGCTACACAATGGCTTTTCAACTTTGTAGTGGCTAGAGCAGTCCCAAATATGCTGGCCACGGTTGGTGCGAATGGATATGGGTAAGTTTGTCTTTTCTTGATATCCCTTCAGTCCTCAAGCATAACCAGATGCTAACTCTATATGTAGAACTTATATAATATTTTCCTGTTTCTGCTTTTCCATGGGAGTGTTTGTGTGGTTTTTCATCCCAGAAACAAAAGGTAATGAACCAAGCTACCCCTTCTAGTAGGGTCCATTTTACTGACCGATTAACAGGCCTCTCTCTTGAGAAAATGGACGAGCTTTTTGGTATTACTGCACCTGTCAATGGCAAATCAACCGACACAAAGAGGGTCTCGACTGAAGATGATATCAAGAGCAATGCTGCTACAGAGACTAGGGTAGAGAGTGTGTAACACAATGAAGCTGCTATCGCTGGTGGGTTTGGTGCATGATACTGCTAAAGTATACATTTAGTAAATGCAGGACTTATTCTGGTATAAAATGATAAACTGATAATGCTAGTATGTCATAAAATTCGTATGTTCTAGTTTCGTTATGTACAATGCTTCCCGAGAAAATAAGAGATGATATCAAAAACAGGGAGAGACGGTATAATGCATGCAGAAGAATCCAACCTCGCTCTTTCACACCTATTATCCCAAACAACACACAAAATGCAATCGAATATCTCAATCTGAAAGAATGAAAAATGACAATGTCCAACAAGTAAAATGCCCCTTGCTCCATAATGGTGCAAAACAAAAGAAACAGTAACAAAGACAGGCAGAAGACCCAACAGAGTTGAGAAAAAGACAATCGTATAAACGAATAGAAAGCAAATCCAGAAGGTTAATCGAGCCCCCTGACTGGGTATTTGCGGAATCCATCCCCTTGCTGTCGCCTCTGGGTTTGGCTCCGAGTTACTCGTCGGTGAGGCTTGTTATCATCTAGACTCAGCCCACCAATACCCGGTCCAAGCTCAGATCGTTTCGGGGAGAAAAAGTTCTCATTGACATTCCGCCCATATCTGATATTCCGAATGGTATTATTCGTAGCAGTGGTGGCTGTCGTGACAGTGGTTTCTGTGTCAGAGTCACGATCTAACGGGTCGGACACATCAGACTCATTGTCCTTGAGACTGTTTAGACTGAAACTATGATTCCCGCTAAATCCCTGGTTGTAGGGTAATCCTACTTGGTATGGCGACCCAGACGATTCAGGCGAGAAACCAGATCCAGCAGCAGTCGAAGAGAAGGAAAGAGGGGGCACAGATGGCTGAGAATGGAAAGACTGGTTCTCCAAAAGGTTACCAGGTCTCGCCATGGGTGAGTCCGTGAAAACATCTTGACCCGAAGAGTGTGCCTGATTCGACTGGGTATGGTTTGGCTGTTGGGACCGAGAATTCTCGCCATTGGCTGGAGCAGCTCGCAAAATGGCAAGAAGACCAAGTCCTTCCTGGGCAGCCATGAAAATTAGAAGCAGTTTCCCGTACCTGTCAAAATATTCTCTCTCGAAGGAGACACGAGGAAGGTTGCCCCCCAAATGAACAGCCGCCACGAGTTCAGCAAAGTAGACAAGAATCTCCATCCCGTTCCACTGCACAATAGGCCGTTTCAATACCTCTAGAAGAGCAAATCCGGCAATGAGACTTGCGCTTCCCAATGAGGCCACTTCGATATAATTTCCAGGTACCGAGAGGAGTCCATATTGAGAGAGAGTCCAAGCAAGAATAGATGCTAGAAGTAATCCCAATCGGAGATACTGGGAAAGAAGAAGATTTCTCATGTCTGTCCGGTGTTGAGAGTCCACTTGTGGCACTTTCTGCTTCCAGTCTTCTTTTCCCTCATCCTCTGCTGATTTTATGGTGAAAGCCCGATCAAACAAGCTTTCCAGTCCGGTTGACGCGACATGATCGGTCATAGGAAAGAATTTCGGGGGCGCAAATACATCAGGACGCCCAGGGTTGCGCTGCCATGCGCTTGGAGACTGGGCCGGGGCACGGTGGAATGGATTACGCTCGACAACCTGCTCAATGGGCTTCTGAGAAGGCTGGGTGCGAAGATTCCATGATGGAGGTTTTGGTGCAGCAGGGAGTGAGCCGTAAAAAGGCATGGGACCATCGAGAACAGATTTTTGGTCCCTTTGGTGGACACTAATGGTTGGTCGAATTTCGCGCTGTAACGAAGGCGTCCAATCCATATCATCCACTTCTGGAGGAGGGGTAGGAGGAATTGCCGGCTCCCTTTCAAGAGCGGCCCGGGGAGTAGCGAGTTTCTCAAGTGGAAAAGGCTGGACGCTTTGATGAAGGTCTTCATTAATTACCGCAAAAGGCTCCTTTTTGGCAGTTGACTGTGCTTGCGATGCTTCCGGCTTCCGGCGCGGCGTCACTGCTGGAGTGTCGAATTCTGACCATGACACCAAGGGACGAGTATCATACTGGATAACACGCCGAGAGATGGCAATAGACTAGAATTTGACGTTAGTGGCTTTGTCTCAAAAATGAAGACAGACCTTGGGCATCACTTACCAGAACCGTGAAGACGATCATAAACAAATGCAATCCTGGTAGCATACTCGATTCGAGACCACTTGAAGAAGGATCCTTAAGCACGCCCCAAAACACGCATCGGACCACCATAACGATGAGTTGCACTTGATAATACTCTCCCAACCCAACAAAACGGCCGCCTCTTCCTTCGACCTTGAACCGCAACTTCGGGTTCCACCAGAGTGAAAGGATGCCTGCAACAAGCGCCAATCCAGCATGTGGTGTTAGGTCCATCAAGCAATTACTCGGCGCATATCGAAGCTGCAAAGTCTGTTGGGCGCATGATGCTAGGGATGGAACCGGTGAAGATCCGTCTGAGTCCCGCAGTGGTTCGCCAGTGTTCAAAGCACTTAGTATATCCCAGGCAAGCTGGCCCGCAGCACTTCCCCAGTAGCCGACGGCACCCGCAAAAACAAGCAAACTCCTCCAGTTCCGGTTTCGTGCCTGTCTGGATGCTCTTCCCGCCTTGCTCCTGTCCATCATGCGTCGAAGATGATCCGACTTTGCTTCATACCCTGCCTGACGAATACGGTCCCTCACCCGGGGTTCACATTTGGCGCATACTTGCGGGTACCGTTCTTCCATGTTCTGTCGAAAGCTGGGGTATTCTCGTTCGTAGGCACTGTATGTGGGGTCTTCGGGGGAAGGAAAGTACGAGGCCAAAGTACTCGTGAACAGATGCTGATTGCGGACACATTGGGCGCAGAAAAGGCTAGTCCCTGTAAAATCGGTCGACTCAAAGGGTGGGCTCGACGCTCCTGGGCCGTATACATCTGGGTTCGTTTCTGCAGCGGGAGGGTCGGTGATTTCCCCTTTCTACAACCAGTTGCAAATGTATGGTTATCTATGTATCCTCTAGATAAGCAAGACAGGGCACCCTTACCTCGTCCAGGTAGTTGACTGCTTCGCAATGCGTGCAGCGCCATTTGCGGACAGGTCCTCTGTCAGTTTGGGCAGAGCGACCCCCACAGTAGAAACAGCTCAGTCGCTTCTGAAAAATAGGTGCCATTTCATGTCAGAGGCGCAATATAATACAAAGCAACGTGTTTTTTGATGACTAGATCAACCCATGGGCTATTGCAATGGGGCTTCTGCTGATGATTCTGTATTTTGGTTGCTACCGGGAGTTAAGACGACAACAGAAAATAATCCCCGAGCTGCACGGACCACGTGCCATCCCCCAAAGAAAAGCGTCGCAGTTGCCAAATCACTCTTCAACACTCAAGGAGTTGCAGACCAGCTGGACTCAACGCTGACCAGAGCATCAGACAGTGTCTTATTTTTGTCTGTATGTGCAGTCTTCAGTTCAAGGAATGATCAGGTGCAAAGGACCCATTTCTACGCCAAATACCCACGTACAAACTGCTCCAAAAGGACACCACTGGGTCTTTCAAGCGATGAATGAATCAGACACTGAAACTACAAGACAGTGACTAACACAGTTTTATTCCCTACGTCTTTGAATATTCCCTGGTTTAGAGCCAGTGCTTCGTTGGCAACGATCAAGTCAACATCATGACTCTCTGTCAGGTGCTGATAATCATCAGCTTCTGGGTTCTTGTCCTTGCGCTTGCGACTGGTATACCTGCAATTCTCGTGAGCACAACCTTGATTGTCTACTCAGCCAAAGCAAGCTAATCTGATGATGCGGCCAGTTGCTCCTACGTGCTCTTTCGGTGTCGCAGAATACCGAAGTCCCCAAATGTCGCTCGAAACATACCCCCACCCATCTGCTTGTTGTCCTAGGCAGCGGCGGGCATACCGCTGAGATGTTCTCCATGCTACGGCGCATGCAGTTCGATTCGTCCGTATATACCTATCGTACCTATGTCGTCAGCTCAGGGGACAACTTCAGTGCTACAAAGGCTGTAGAGTTCGAAGCGAATTTCTTGAACGGTGGGGAATGGGGTAAACAGAAAAAGCAGATCCAAAGCCAGAATGATTCAGAACCCTACGCCATTATAACCGTCCCACGGGCACGTCGCGTTCACCAGTCCTATTTAACAGCGCCTCTGTCCACCCTTCAGTCATTTTGGGCCTGTCTTCTTGTGCTACGTGGGCTTCATCCCGATCAGAAATCACTTCCTCAACACATCCGTTCTTTGTATCCGGACGTGATTCTCACAAATGGCCCTGCGACCGCAGTCTGTATTATACTGGCTGCGAAACTTCTCCGTCTATGTCATTTCCTGATTGGCAACACCACGCCAAAAACAGGACAAGGGTCGACGCCCCTGGATTTCCAGCTGCGTACCATTTTTGTAGAATCCTGGGCCCGGGTCACAACTCTGAGTCTCTCGGGCAAAATCCTACTCCCTTTTGCCGACCGGTTCCTCGTTCAATGGCCCGCATTAGAAGGGAAGAGGGCTTGGAAAGGGATGAGGAAGACCGAATACGTCGGCGCGCTGGTAGATTAAAAGATGAATCGCAGGACGTTTCCAGCTAACTTGCTAGCTTTGTCGATAATATATTTCAAAGACTTGTAAAATATTGAACAATTAAAATACCGAAAGGTACTTTGCGAGATGATTCCGATATCTTGACAGTCAACACCAAGACTATTCGCTGTTTGGCTGGTTCCTGGGATGTGATCAACCCCTCACTCTATTCGCTGTACCTCTCATATGTACTCTGTAGATCAGCTTGACAATCACCTCCCACCTGATCGTATCATTGCACATGCAAATCGTTTCCTACCGAGATACCGGAATAATTCCGAGTGATGGACTGATTGACACTCTGTACATGCATGCATCGGCTCTCTTACCCCGCTTGACTGATTCGTAATTCTCTCAGTGCTTCGCCAGCATCTAACAGCTTTTTTTTTTTTGAATGTGAGTGATAATATTGCCCTTGATCAAAGACAATTGCTCTTCGGCTGATCGCAACATTCTAAAGGACGCTAAATATATACGCTCGTCAGTCATTATGTCATACTCTTTGCAAGGTCGAAATGCCCTTATCACGGCGGGTTCCCGGTAAGTCTGGCTTTCCTTGACGAAATTGGTCTTCATCTTGAATATCCGGTTTATTGGATACTAATATGGAACGATAGAGGACTGGGAGCTCTCGTAGCCCAGAAATTCGCATCTGAGGGTTGCAATGTCGCCATCAATTATGTCTCGAATAAAGAAGCAGCCGAGAAGGTCGCATCTGAAATCCAGGCCCAATATAATGTGAAGACAGCCATCATTCAGGGTGTATGTCCCTCTTCTTTTCGCTTTCTAGATATGTTTTGTGGCATTTATGACTTTGAATACCCAATGCCTTCAATACGTGTATCACGCTCATTCATGACTATGTATGATTTAGGACGCAGGTCTCCAAAGCGACTGTACCAACACAGTTAAGGCTGCAATCGAGCAATTGGGTGGCCTAGATATTCTAGTTTCGAACGCGGTAGGTCAGATGCCAGAATTCTAGCTGTCAGTTACTGACATCTAGGCAAGGGTTGGACCAGAATGACTCTATTCGCCGACTTGAATGCAACGAACGAAGAGGATTGGGACAAGGTGAGGAGGCCAACCACTCCCAGGCTCTTGTATGTAGTGGTTGTCTCACATTCGATAACAGTGTTGGTCCGTCAACGTCAAGAGCAACTTGCATCTTTTCAAAGAAGCCTTGCCGACGTTTAACGCAAACCCCGAAGGTGGTGTTTTCCTTCTTACTTCGTCCACAGCGGTAAGTGAAACGAATCAAAGGTAAATGGGTGACTCAAAAGCTCACTCTCTGCACCAGGCAGTTACACCGTCGGGGAGTAGCATGCCATATTCCGTGACAAAGGCTGCAGGTAAAGTCCCCGAGATTCAATAGCAAATATAGCCTTCTAATAGCAAAACAGGACTGCATCTCATGAAGTGTCTCGCGCAAACACAGGGCAACAAAGTTCGTGTCAATGCTGTCCTGCCAGGTCTCCTGCTCACTGAATGGGTAAGTCGTTACCTCAAGCGCGTCATATCAAGCTTGTCGTCCGGGTGAAAAAGCGAAGCTAGTAGCAAGGCTAATATCACAACAGGGCCAACGGTTTCCCGCCGAAAAAGTCCAGCTCTACAAGGATATGGCCGTTCTCAACAAAGTGGTAAGCTCTTTCCCTCAAGTCATCCATTTATATGCTGACCAAATGGCCATCAGCCCGAGGTGGAGGACACAGCTAATGCATATGTAATGCTGGCCAAAAACTCGTCCATGACAGGCCAGTCGATACAAATCGGTAAGCGCTTTCGGGAAAAAAAAATTAAAAAAAATCTGGTATACTACAGGACTGATTTTTCAAAGATTCCGGTTTTGCAATTAGGTAAACGTCGATTGATTGTGTTTTATCTGTGGCAGATGCTCTTGATTACTGCCGTGGTGCTCAGTACATTTAACACGATTTATATTGAAAACTGCTTGCGGCTGGTATCATTTTGTTAGTAAAAGTACATATATTACAGACTCCATTTGTTGCCGTCATTGAAGAGGGTTGTAGGAAGGGGTATAATCGCCAGCATTTGAGTGAAATACTCGATCGCCGATCATCCGTGCTTTGAGGGCCGCTCGAAGCCCATCTGTATTTTGTTCTCCTTCCACCTTCATCTGGTGTATGCGTATCAATTTCCCATCTTGCGTGAATACATAAAGCCCCTTTTCTTGTCGAGGTTCAAATGGACGAACGCCATTCACAAATGGCAAGCCAGGAACAAGAGAGAATGCATCACAGCCCGCGGGCGGAGTGACTTCCTCCATTTCTGTGATGATCACTCTCTTGTGTTGAAAGGTAGACCCGTTTGGAGATTCAGTGGACACAAGGGCCTTGGTCCACAGCGGGCCCAAGACACGGTTTCGCCTGTTTATCTCCGCCCAAGTCCAGTTTGCCCAGTTGATATGTCGGTCCTCTGGCGTAATCTTGGCTGCATGAACCAGGCCCTCCTGTCCTTCAGAGGCCCTCCAGCCTGCATCCTTGAGAGGTGGAACAAAAAGCCCATCCCTGATACCTTCGACAAGTATCTGTGCTCCCCTCGGCGCAACAGTATTTAAGAGTTCTGGGACTGTACACGAGTTGGGATTTGGTATTTCAAATCCAGGAGATGGTGTCTGCTTAAGGATGACACCATGATCAAAGTGCTTCAAATGTAGAGTCTGCAACGAGATGCCGGTCCTGGTTCTACCGGCTAGGAGGGTATGGTGTAGCGGTGCGGGACCACGGAAACTGAATAACATCTGTCAAAAAAGGTCTCACGCTTATCCAATTCAGCTTCTATACGTACTCTGGAAGCAACGAGGGGTGAACATTTAATCCTCCGTATTTGGCACCGTTGAGAATTCGAGGAGGTACGAACAGCCCAAAAGAAACGGCCACTATTAGATTGATAGGGCCTCCAGAAAGCATAGGTGGCTAGCACTGTCAGTAAAATATCAACTGGTCCGTGTATGATATATTACCGTCCAGCCCTTAAAAGTGTCGATCTCATGAATTGGAAGAGACAGCTTCGATGCGGCTGCTTTAATCGGAACTATTAAAGAACGACACATTAGATCACAACTTATATTAAACAGTAGTGATGGAATTACCCTCGCGGATTTTCTTCAGTCCTCTTCCAACCCTTTTTCCTGGTCTGCAAACGACATCAATGGAAGAGATTCGATCCGGTTGTTTTAAATGTTCCTCATGGAGAGCTCTCAAAGAAGCTATGCTGAACTCATCGGAGCCGCAGAACAATATCCGGAGTGGCTCGTGTGCCTTTGTCGACAGAAACCGTAGCTTCAAACTAGGACAAGTCTGCGCTCTTCTGTAAACACAGAATACTCCAATTCCTCCAGTGAAAAACATGGTTTTGGCTGTTGTGCTCTCGACATCCAGCCTCGTGGGACTCTCGAAGCTCTGGGGAGCTTTGTCGGCCGCCGATCTATCGATAAAGCACGTGATGTCACCGATGTCACATCAGCAGATACCAGGCTGGTCGACGAAGAAGGTCATCATTCTCGACTATTGTGCCGCTCTACGGTGAACTAGGCACATCTTGACGATGCGATGCCAGAGAGCGACTTTGCTTCGGTAGTTCCAGCGCAACTTTCCTTCCTCGCGATCTATAACCCTCTCCTCGGTCCGACCGACGAAACGCTCAACGACCAAGTCGTGTTCTATACTTCCAGGTCCAATCGATTGCGACGGATCGAAGGCTCTGCTGCAGAAAATGATGACGATGAATACAAGGATGAGTGGAACAGGCGATTGCGCCAGATCGGACTGGCGCAGGGTATGGTGAACTTTGCTAGGTGGGCATCGCTACGTCAGAGTCTTGCAACAATCATGTACTGAACTAGTACTGCTAGAAATTTCTCAGGTGGAAAGGCAGTTGATTATGTGGAAACAGATCGGTCGCGGGTTATTCTTCATGAGCTAGAGAAAAATTGGTGGATTTTAGCTGTGTGTGTTGCTTGCGATCAATTGTCTAGCTTGGGATACTGATGAGATCGCGACAGTCCATTGACCTCACGCGGCTTCCAGCTGAATCTACTGGTGGATCTTCAGCGCAGCGCGATGTTGCAGATACTCCTTCTTTCCAGTATTCTTCTAGGGAAATGTGCCCCCCGCACCTCTTGATCCAGCAACTTCGTCGCGCCTATTCCATATTCCTGCTTCACCATGACTTTACGCTTGAGGAATTTTATCAGCGCGTTGGCAGGCTCACATTCTGCGGTCTTCTTGAGCGTTTCTGGGAGAGATTTGCGTGGAGCTGGGAGGTCCTCTTAAGCGGGAACCCCGCTGTTGACATGTACAACGGCATCAAACTTTCTGCCGGGGGTGAGCTTGGGATTGGCGTTGGGGAAGAAGAATGGGGAAGTGGTGAAAGAGAAGTGCTAGAGGACTTTGTGTTCAGAACGGAGGGTCTTGTGGACCTGGTTGTCTCGAGGTTTGGCGACCCAGCTACGAACATTGAAGATCCAAATAAGACGGAGGATGATGAGCTCCTGTGGCTTGGGTCAGATGGTTTTCCTCGGCCTTCGGATGGTGTCATATTCTCAGGTGTGGGTGCCATAGAAAGATCATCTCTGGTCCGTGTCTCCCAGTGGATGGAGTGGATCTACAGGAATGGCGATGATGCATATGGAGTCAGTAGAGACCCAAAATCGCCCCGACGTCAAAGACAACGGAAGAAAAGACAGCGAGGAAGACTGTCTTCCAAAGACGCCAACACCTCATCCAGGCCTGCCAGTGATTCTCAGGTACCAACCCCTGATCGCAATTTCTCCCCCGGGATACCTCGCCCACTCGTGATGGGGACATCGCAGCCTCCCCAAATCATAGATGGAAAAGATAGCGCTCAAACGAGCGGCGAAAGCTCACCTGCACCAAGTGAGCGTGGCAGTGACTGGTCTGGCTTTGGGACTGAGACATTTATGAAGTATCTTACTCTGGGCTATGGTTCGTCTTGGAGTCTGTCGTCGGGAACCCCTAGTCCGCATCCGCGCGTTGCGGCATTGAAGGAAGAGGGCGCACCCAGTGTTTCCCAACAATATACCTCTTCTACCGATACAAAGCAACCCAATGAAGGGGACGCATCTCAGACCCAAGACACTAAAGAGGACATTAAGCCCAAAATCCACAACACGGGAAAGTTCATCATCGGTTTACGCAACGATCAGGGAAAGCCGAAAGATCATTCCACGAGGGACAACAGCACAGTAAAAGATCCCCAGAGCAGCCCGAGCGATGGAATAGTGCAGCGGACCTTGCATGTCCGCGTGGTCCCTTCAGATGAAAACACAACTGGTTTGGCGCCACGGTCCCCCAGGATCAATAGTAGCGATGACTGACTCATGATTCAGGTTCAAAGAAGCTACAGGCGGTAGTTTATGTGGTATGTGCTTCGCAGAGTCTGGCCAGACCATGGAAGCTAACACGGGACAACAGCACCAACCGTTCATATTCACTTTCCTTTTTGATACAGAAACGCCATCGCTGGCTGAACCTTCGCTCTACAATGACATCCAACATCAATTAGCCCCCCTCCAGAAATCGCTTTCAAACTCCACGTCGCCCGCAAATGCAGCACAACGGATATCAATGTCAGAGAACACCTTTGACTCCAACAAGCGATTCTCAATCAAGAACCAACCAGTCTACGACCTTGTCTACGATCCATCAAACCTCACAATCCGATCCTCGATCCCGAATATCCCAGACCCAGCCGCCAATGCCGGAGACCCCAACGCACCACCACCCTGGTCACGAGTCGAAAGTCTCAACATCCACCACCGACTCCTCAGCACCTACGCTGAAACCAGATCCCGGCCTCTGGAACTCGAACGAACGTGCAAAACTAACCGCGGCTGGTGGGTGGTCTGGGTTCGTCTCTCCGAACCCCCCACCACCGATAAAGACATCACCGACGACGAGGTCCCCACCGACATGAATAGCCCTGCACCGCAGGAAGCGTTTGTAATACGAAGAGCCAGCGACCATGTCCCTGCAGCCAGTCATTCACGTAACGGCAGCGGTGCGAGGTTCCTGCGAGATCTTGGCGGCGCTTCCCCCAGACTGCAGGCGTCTCGCGCTGACATGGGACCAGGGAAGCTGGTTGAAGGACTGGGTCTCGATGCTCGGCGGTATATCGAGGGCTTATTGCGTTTGAATCAGTAAAGCCCGAGTTTTATTTATTAGATAAAGTTGCTTATAATAGTTACCTCTAATACAGGGATAAGATAAACGAAACTCGGTTGCTACAATCCAAGCTCGACCTCTAGACAGAATTCCTTAAGAGGGCATCTACTAAATCTTTTTATTCTAATTCGTATAGCTTCTTATCATTTATTTATTGTGTTCTATTGTTACTATGAATAAACACGCCAGGGAAATGATCCGCCACTTTGGATTTTAATCGAGTTCCACTTTTTATTGCTCGCCCCCTGATGTATTTATATTTGTTGACTGATCTAGTTCCATCGTTGCCTGCTAATTTGCATACACGTCAAGCATTCGTGCAGTCCCTATCTTCCAATACGATTATTGATATGCATCGGGGCTATTGACTTCGACGTCGATGAAGCTACGAAGCTGCATGGTGATGGGTCTTTCACTGACAAAAACGAACGGGAAATTATTTGTATGCATTTCTTCAACTGGAATTAACTAAGTCATGGGATGTGTATGTGTTCAGTAACATGATAACTTGTCTGGGAGTATGGGAAACAATAATAAATGCAGATAGATCATAGTCAGAGAAACAAAGAACTGGGGAAGTGGTGATGGAACACAGGCAGGCAATACAAAAAACTAGATGAGAATTTAATGGATGACCCTGGGATGGCTGTAGATCTCGCCGAACTCGAGATGGCCTCATTGACAGTGAACCAGGGCTGACCTTGAAAGAAAGACCCAAGAATAGAAGATAATTCCATGCATTCTCTCAACCGAAAAGAAAAAGAAAAAAGAACTCTTTGCTGGAGACACCTGATGTGATAGGAATCATCTATCATATCACGAAGCTCCCGACCTTCTTGATCAAACCCTCCGAGAAAAATTGACGGGACACACGCGAGAAAACGCCATCCTCAGTTGCTCATTCCCGGTCTGCTCTGTTCGAGTAGTGATGGCCCTTCTCTGCCAGCCAGGGAGGGTATTTTGCCATAGTAATCGAATCACCCGGTAGGCCCTATGGAGAGCTGGAAAAGAAAACCCACACGGTTATTGAAGATAACGCCTCCCTAGACAAATCCTGCAAAATAAGAAAGTCGACCAACTGCATAGCCAGATAATCCCATAAAGCTCATGTGCCCGTAATTGAACATTATCCACTCGCATCCAGGCACATATGACACGCCAAAGGAAGACCCCTTCTGAGTAGTAAAAGAGAAAAGAAAAGAAACAACCAAATATTCGAGACGCTTATCCGTTGATATAATCTCCGCTTAAAAAGACCTTGCGAAGGAGACAAAAACTAGTTTACAGGATAGAGCACTTGGGCTTCTTCTTTTGGCTCTTGGTCAGAAGGGCGGCGCGAGTGGCAGACTCAAAGACTTCGCGAACACCCTCGTTGGTTCGTGCAGAGCATTCGAGGTACTTGTAGGCACCGATCTTCTTGCGGACTTCCTCGCCCTGGAGAACACACGAGTCAGTGGCAAGCACAATAATCGAACTGGGAATTGGTGTAGACATACCTGCTCGGAGGCAACGGGCTTCTGGGAGGTCTTTTGCAGCTCCTCGTTGGTCTTGGGGTCGTGACGGAGATCCTTCTTGCAGCCAACAAGGATGATGGGAAGTCCCTGGCAGAAGTGGAGAACCTCAGAGATCCACTGTATACGTCGTTAGCATCATGTTTCAACATTAGAAATCACCGTTTATCTCCAGCGTTTTCTTCTCCTCTTGGAAGCAATGATGCAGGAACCCACCTTCTCCTGGACGTTGTCGAGGGAGTCTGGCGAGTCAACCGCGAAACAGATCAAGATGACGTGAGAGTCGGGGTATGAAAGAGGACGGAGACGGTCGTAATCTTCCTGACCAGCAGTATCCCAAAGAGCGAGCTCGACGTGCTTGCCATCGACCTCAACATCGGCGACGTAGTTCTCGAAGACGGTGGGGACGTAGACCTGAAAGATTGGGGTCAATATAACATGACACAGACAGATATGGCAGATGTATATGGGCTTGTAGATTCAAATCATCCGAGGAAGATTGAATTATCAGGGTGCGGATGGAAAAAGACCGTTGTTGGAAGGCTGACGACGATGAAGATGATGGAGATGATGATGAAGGGAACTAACCTCAGGGAAGGTGCCCTTGGAGAAAACACTGCAAAAGAATTCCCAGTCAGTCTACTGTTGAAACTCTTGATATCAAGGCCGTTTATGGCCATTTGATATGGGTATAAATGAAGAGAAATACTTACATCAAAAGACAAGTTTTACCACAGGCACCATCGCCCACGATGACAAGCTTGCGGCGGATCTCGGCCATCTTGAAATGAGGAAACGAGAGTCAGCAAATAACAAATAACAAGAGACCTGCGTAACTCAGATAGGCGACAGATAAATAGTGGGTAGAGAGGAAGAGAAGAAATGGAAAGCTGCTGCGGTAGTTGATGATGGATGGCGGCGAGGGAGAATGCAGAGAAAGGGACAGGTCAGGCGCCCGGGGGAAAAAGGGTTATCACATACGGTGCAGGGAGTAGTCGCAACGGCGCGGACAAAAGGATTTCACAGAGAGAGAGAAAGAGAAAAACAGAACCCAGCAGAAGAGTTCAGTTGATGAGGATAGAAGGCAGAAAAGAAAGACCCAAGGAAGTGGTTGATGGAGAAAGGTTGATGGGGGGTTGAAAGACCGACGTTTGTATGGAAGAGGTTATCGGCGCTGGCGCAGGGCTCGTTCATTCATCTGGGCGATGCTTTCTTCCCCCGTGAGAGCGTCTGAGGCTCCCAGGCCGAAATTGTTACCAGGATTACCTCTGGATGTATCCGACAATTGAAAAACAGGTGTGGCTGATATTTTTTTCTTTCATTTCTTACAATGCTTTATTTTTAATATTACTTCCTTCTACCTTTCTTCTGTCTATTTTTTTTTTCTCTTTCTTTTGACTTTCCCCTAAATTCTGCCTTTTCTTTTGTACCGTCAGTATTGTTCTTCGTATGAAGCCACCCTGACGACACGGTATTCCGTACCTAACTTACTGCGGTTATTTATTACTTTCAGTACACGGCACTATGTATTTTATTTGGTCCCGCTCACATCTTTTCTTTTTTTTCTTTTTCTTTTTAACTCTTCAATTTTTTTTTCGACCCCCTTTCAGATGAAAAACTCCACTCTTATTATTATCTCGGTTGCCAGGATATATTAACTTGCAAGTCAATTTCAGTCAACAATAATAATATTCACTGTTAAAAATAATATCAATTCTCAATATTCTTTTTCCCCTCCTATTTACTCTGTATATTTTAGGCGTCCAGTGGTCTATCAGGTCTAATTACGTGGACAACGCCTTAGGGGACAGTGGATTCGGGTCTATCGGTTGATCGCAACGACTATGTACTTATGTCTGTCGTATTTTCTACTATTTTATAGAATCCCAGGCAACTTCTAATAATATATATTTTTGGTATTTCAGTATCCAAACAGATTGCTCCAAAAGATTGGTCAATATGAACATCCATGATCTGTAACAATTTCTGTTCGTTGTCTGTGCTCCCCTGACCATCGGACTCTCCGTTGAATTTCGGTCTCGCAAGACTGGTTGGACGCACGAGCTTCTGGTTACCAGAAAAATGGACTCCAGCCGTGACATTCATTCTTTTTTATTCAATTCTTCCCAGGGACAACCCCATAAATACTGAGGCTATATTATTCGTGACTATCTATATTGATTTCTCGCTTGAGATGCGATGGGTTTAAGTCGACTATGATTCTGGATAAGCTATTATTAGTTCTTTTAAGCTTGTGGTGCAGCTGTGGATTCGCATTCCATTAACAGAGACAGTAGTAAAAGGAGAAGGGAGAGACAAAAGTACACAAGTCACCACTTGCCAGTTTCCATTACATCCATCGATGGCTATCATTCCTCAAGCCAGCTGGATTCGACTCCAGATGATGTATTCGACTGTTTTCTTGGAGATGATCTGATGATATGATCCTCTTTCTCCTTATTATTTACCAACAAAAATATGTGGCGGTGCCATGCAAATTACGGAAAACATAACGGCCAACGTCATTTTGATCTGAAACAGCCCTTTCCCATTCGGGTTGGCTTAAATACCAATGTTTACAATTTTGCAGAATCCCTGGTATGATTTGATCACGGAGTTACTCTGTCCCGAACAAGTGGTATCACTGTATTAGTGTGGCTGTGTCTGATAGGCAGAAGGGTTGTGGACCTTGGGCGGTGCACAGCCACAGATCATCCAAACGGATCATCCATGTACGGTACAGATACTGTACAGATTCAACAGCAGGCCTCGTCCAAATCACAATCCGAAGCTTTCTCGTTCTCTGTTCTGATCTGACTGTCCACGGTCTGGGTCAGACTTAGTGGTGTTTGATTGACGGCACATGCATATCACGCCAAAGACCGCTGATATCCGCCTCCTATACGGAGTACGAAGTACGGTATACTTTACACTGATAGCGTCCTCGCACTTTTGGAACCAGAGCATCCAGTCACACTGCGACATGTCAGTCTTGCGCTCTTTGCTCTCTGACATCATTGGCTTGAGCGTATTCTGAAATGGAAAGAAACAGCGTCTCTGCAGACTCAGTACTGGCTGTACTCGCCAGTACATGGGATTAACCATCCACTGCAGTATTATCCTGTTGCATGGTTCATATAAGCACTTGATTTTGCATTCCAACTTTTAGACTATTGGCATTTCTAGGCACCGGTAACTTTGACCAATTTCATAATCTTAATGAACCATGGTGTGATTCACTGTCACTGGCTCGGTCAAATATATACATCCGGGAGACCGAAAGTCATTACTCCGTGTATCTCATTTCATTCCCATGGGGTTCGGATTTCATCAAGTCTAGACTCGGTGGAACAGTAAGGAGCTCACGCATATCTGGAAACAGAAAGATGCATTGGTGAATACAAGTGATCGAGTTGATGCCTGCACTGCCGCCATACTTTTTGCAACCGATCGAAGCAATTGTAGATCAGGTGGGTTTGAGACCACATTTCATCATACCAACAAAGTATGCCCTGTTAAACTGCAATGACGGACCAACCTGATTACTAGATGATCCATGGATACTATTTGTCCAGAGAATCCATATAACTGCACTACCTGAATGTAAACATCGGCCTCAAGCTGCATTGACAACTACAAGAATGCAATATAGAAAACACAACACAAGAAGTAAGCTAGCAATTAGGAAACCCTGTAGGGAAATATCATTTGACTCCATCAACAGAGCTGTATTCTAAATAGCATTGATTAGGATATCGACAGCATTAAGAATGGTCTATTCTGATTGGCTCCCCTGGTGTGGCCGATTTGCATGTCACGTGACCGCATGCGGCCGCAATTTTCCAGCCGAAGCAACTTCCTATGGCCCTCCGATGATCGAGTGGAACAGCCGGCCATTGTTGGACCGCATCAGTCAAAATGCAGAAGATTATTCGAAGAACGGCATTGGCGAGGAATCAAGCCCAGCGAAAGGCGATTCGAGCAACCAAAAATGCCCAACGCGAGGAAGTCAAGGACTCGTTGAGACAGCGGTTCGCCTTTAACCGGATGGAACTCGATGCCATCCGCGGTGAGAGACAACGACGTCGCGAGGACTGGCTTCGTGGGCCCTTGGCACCCCAGCGAGATGCTGGGCCTGAAGGACACAGCTTTGGAGCTTTGAGTCCACAGGCCATGAACCCTCCATCTATTCCTGAACACCTCCGCCGAAAATACATCAACATCGCCGCCGGAGACCGGGTGTGTATCATCAGAGGGCGGGACAAAGGTAAAATCAATGAGGTTGGCCGAGTCGAAGCTTCAAATGAAACGGTCATGGTGAAGGAACTTAACCAGGTACGGCCTCTCCGGTCACGGATCCCGTGTTCTTCGTCTCTTACGAGCATACCTGTTCTAATATGTTATTCCTACAGGCCGATGTCTCTTTCCCTTCCTGGCTGAGCGAACAACACGGTTCCAAATCTCCCTTCAACACATTGAGCTTGCCAATTCCGATCGACGATGTTCGACTGGTAGTTGCTCTCGACGACCCTGTCACTGGAAACACTCGGGACGTCTTGGTCGAACATGTTTACGGAGGAGAGCCCATTCTTGAGCGAGAATACGGCACAGACACCCCGAGACACACCCGATACATTGCCGGCGAAAACATCGAGATTCCCTGGCCTCGCAGTGAACCCGCAACGCAGAAGGATGAAGAGTGGGACACACTGCGGATGGAGGTCGAGACACCTACCTGGGTTCCATCATTACAATCTGCGCCATTCCCCTCCAGTGTTCTCGATGAACTCCGAAACAAGTTCTCCAAGTACCGGACAAGACATGACCCCGAATGGGTTGAGGCGAAGAAGATGGAGGAATACAGAAAGGAATACCTTCAAAGCAGGTCTTTGATGACACCTAAGGGCGAATTCCTGGCTATGATGAAGGCTAGGAAAGAGGAGCGCATGAAGGCGAAGCGCGATGCTGACGGGAACTTGATCATGGACGACAAGACAACGGAGTTTATTGAACGCTTCATGCAGAAGAATGCTTCAAGTAAAGCCAAGTCAGCTGCTTGATTTCTACAAAGGGTTTGACATGAAGACCGTGGCCGATTTTTTTTTTTTTTTCTTTTCCAAGCATGTATACAACTGTACTGTAGCATAGGACGTGAGTGTATTAGGATCAATATGAAATTAGTCTAGTTCATTTGGCCCATGTAGGACCGAGGATGTCTATGAGTAAAACTATGTATTAATCTTATACATACAACTACTGTTTGCCCGGTTAATAACCACAGAGGGAGCAAGGTGTTATCGCCAATAATTGCGTTTGGATTGCGCTCCGGGTCGAGAGGGCCGCCAGGGGAAGACCATCATCCGTCCCGAGTTTCCTTTCATCCATCCCCATCTCAACGTTCACGAAGTGTCAAAATACCCTAGCCCCCCTTGGTTTATACGATTTGTTATCGCCGGGGGCCTGTGGTCGATTATCAAGATGGCGTTCGCAACGATCAACAAAAATTCACCGGCCGTGAATAATGTTAATATCCCCGCCATTGAAGAAGCGTTCGCCGCCGAACCCTCTCTCAAGAAACGAGTCTACGACGCGATCGGTGCGTTGACAGTCCAGTCCGACGAAGCACCAAAAGCAACTCTGAAGCTGATTTTTTTTTTTTCTACCCTTCCCCGGTATAGGAACCACACCGCAATATACACCTCTGTTTGAAGATATTGCTAGATATACATCCAGCCTGCTGGCCAGGAAACCCGACACGTCCCTTCAGCCTGTAGAGGCAACCAACGACGGCCCTGCTGCGAAGAAACGAAAAATACAAAATGGAGATGCTCCGGGCGTCGCGCAATCAACCGATCTCAAGGCGAATAAGTCCCTACAATTCTACATGCAAGATGTGTCTTTTGCTATGCCGCAGCGCAAAAAGCTCACGCTCGAGATGACCGCCGGGCGCGGTTTTCTTCGCGCAAGAAATCAAACATCAAAGGAGGTTGAATTTGGGATTGCATTGGATAATATCCGTAAGTGTGGAAGTTCCTAGAGCGAAGGGCTGGCGATTTCGATTGAATACTGACTATCGATCTCGGAATAGGACATGTTTTATGTCTTCCCGTGCCCGAGAAGAACCAGCGACAGTTCAACTTTTGCATCATCCCTCAATTTGGCGATGGGGTCAATTCGCCCCCTGGTGGGGAGCCCGCGCCTGAATCTATGGTGTGGACAGTAAATGACGGACCTGCTAAGGCCGCATATTCAGGAACTGGGCAGCAGATTGGGAATAAAGAGGGCGAGACAGCTGAGAGTATGCTTCGCCGGATATTCAACGACAACCTGACGCAGACGAAGGTTGTGCGTCCGGATGAGAGGGAGTTTGTGAGCGCCATGCCCGAGGCGCATCGCAAGGGAGAGAAGGCCTATCATGTCAAGGCTTTCCGCGGTAGCAAAGAAGGTAAATCTTTCTCAGCTAATGACCTTGAGTTTATGATACTAATTGGGTCTTAACTTCAGGCTATCTGTTCCTGCTCTCTACAGGAATCTTGTTCGGGTTTAAAAAGCCATTGATCTTCTTTGCTTTCGAGAATGTCGAGTCGATTTCGTATACATCTGTGCTCCAGCGAACATTCAACCTCAATGTCGTGGCTCAGCCCAGTACGGGTGACGAAACGCAAGAATTCGAGTTTTCGATGATTGACCAGGCCAACTTTTCTGGCATTGACACCTACATCAAGACACATGGTCTACAGGATGCCAGTTTGGCAGAGGCACGACGCGCCAAAAAGTACAATGTTAACGGAGCGAAGACGGAGGAAGGCGAGGCAGCCAGCGCAGAAGTTGGTGCTGAAGGCGAAGAGAGTGAATTGGCCAAGGCGCAACGTGAGATTGAGGACCAAGAAGAAGAGGATGAGGAGGATTACGACCCTGGCAGCGACGGTGAAAGCGAAGGAAGTGGCTCCAGCAGTGAGGAAGATGATGACGAAGACGGAGAGGGCGCGGATGAAGACGATGACGATGAAGATGAAGACCTCATTGCGGATGAGCTTGGGAGTCAAGCCGAAGATGTTCCGGCCGATGAACTATGATATTATCACGGACCATGCTGTTAGTGGAAGATGAATGTGGCAGGGTATATCAATCTTGTGTATTGTATTCTGGAACCACGGTCTACACAGCCATAACCTTAGTCCACAGATATAAAAAAAAAACTATAAATACAACGTGGGTGCGGAGTACAGAGCAGCGACATGCACATTTGACGATAAGCTATGAAGCAATGATGTACCGTAGTGGTGTTTCATTGGAGTGTGAGATCAGGAGATGTCTACATTAGCTTGATACATACATGGCGGTGGAAGATTCGCCATGCCACCGTGATGTTTCAAGGCTGTGGGAAGACGAAGTTTCATTTGGTGTAAGCAGGTCTTGTACCTACATAGCAGGCAAGGTACGGAGCAGATTACTTTGTACCTACTTTAGGTGCTTCTCGTAAGAAGCTCCCATGAAGCTGCACAAAGCAGCCACTGCAATGCCATCATTGAGGTGGGTCGTAGACGTGTCAAATCCTGCTTTTGGAGACAACTAGACGAACCGCAGCGATCATGATGTCTTCTTTCTTGAACTACTCTTTATTATTGGCATATGGCTTCTCAATTCCTATCTAATATTCAGCAAAAAAAAAAAAAAAAAAACCTGCACGTCGGTCGCAGTAGTACTGTAGTAGTTCAGGTTCCTCCCCCTCACAAGCGAAATCGAATGGAACGATCGGATGTACCAGGGGTAATTTACACGGTATTGTCTAATACCATACCCAGTCAATAATACAAGAGATCATTGGACGCTTTGGACAACACCAGTTCCCCAGTTGGCCAGGGGCAAAAAAGCCAACACAGTCAGAACCACTTGTTTTTGACTCTGTACCAACAGAAATGAAACAACAAAAAAAAAAAAAAAGAGGCGATAAGAGCTAGAAAATAGAGTGGCCACTGGCCAGCGACAGCAGTGCAGCATTAGACTTTTTAGCTGGGGCAATTGGGATCGGTTGACTGGCGATTGGCGCTGCCGAGGGGTTGAGAGCCCGTTCATTGGGTCTGGATGATTTATGGGGAGAGCTTAACTCGCCTTTCATATGCGCCTGATGGATTACCTGGGAAATAGATGAAATACATTCAAAAAATCTAAAAGATGACGGGGGCTATACGTCCATACAATAATAATTACATTATTGTAATTAATTAAACAACCATGTAGGAGCATGGACGGTACCCATGATGAAATGAGCATTCCAGACATTCTGCAGGATTGTCTCACTGATGAGATAGTCACCATAGTAACACCAGCACCCACATCAAGAATGGGTATACTGATTCATATTCATTTCCGTTTCCCTTTCTCTTTTCTGACACTGTTGACAGCTAAAAAAGCTCTCTCCAGCGGTCTGTCTAGCGCGCGGTCTTTGGCCGTTCGCCCGCCATACCCAACCGCTAAAAGGGCCGCTAGTGAGAGTCGAGTCGTGGTTAACTTTTCCTTACCTGACCGTATCATACCGTAATATCCAATACCGTACGTAGCCCGTACCCTGTAGAGCCCAGCTAAGGTGGTAAAAGTTGTTTTAACTCCCTATCGATCATGGCCAGAAGAATCGGTGCTCGTCCTTTTTCTGCAAAAAAGGCGAAGGAAAAAAAAGTGACAGGCTCTGCGGGCGGCTCCTCAGGCATCCAACCATCGCCCGTTCTCTCCCTCTCCCTCTCCCTCTCTCCGCCTCATTTTCCCTTTCCTCCTGTACTGCCCGTATTATTCTCCTTCTCTCTACCTAAACCCACTCGTCCTTCTCCATCTCTCTCCATCTCCATCTCTCCCTCTTCCTCCTCCCTTTTCCCTTCTTTCCCTCCCCTTCATCCTCTCCTCCCTCTCTGCTGTTCAATCCTTTCACCAACCGCTGCTCAGTGCGGCTTATCGTACTGCCACGCAGTTGGTCAGTACTTTCGGACTCCCTTTTTCTCGTTTCGACTCGTTGCTTTTTTCCCCGTTTATTTTTTTGCCTATACTTTCTTTCTTTTCCGAGAGTCTGGTTTGGATCGTCTTCAATTCCTCTTCTCTCCCTCGCCCGTTCAGCGTGCAACTGTCAATTACCAGCAACCCCAGCTGTCGGCCCGCTCCTAACCAATCAGTCCTTTGCCTCTCCGTCCGTCGCCCTTCCCGTCAACTCCTCCCAAGGGTGTCATCATCCCACGATCGGTCTTCGCACACCTTGCTCCGTTCCCCCCAATCTCGGTGCAATTCCCCTAGCGGTGGCTACTCTCAGTCCTCGATTTGCCGCCCGTCGTTTTTTGAATCGGTTTTGACTTGCACATTGGTCCTGGATGAGTGATCGGAGTTTGTGAAGAGTGACGGTCTTGTTCAGTTCTTATCGTGAGATCTGTTGTCCTTCGTGCGTAATCCGGTTTCCCTTTTCGCTATGATTATGGTCTATCCGCGTCGGTTCCCTTGCTGACCATTTCCGATCAACAGTCTTGTACGCGCAGAGCCGTTGGATCGAGTCCTTAAGTCTTTCTCTTATCGAGAACCTTCGCTCCAATGTCATCCTCATCGTCTAACGTGGTGGGAGTCCACTACAGAGTGGGAAAGAAGATTGGAGAGGGATCGTTTGGTGTTATTTTCGAGGGCACCAATCTCCTGAACAATCAGCAGGTCGCTATCAAGTTTGTACGTCGCATCTTCGTGTCGGATTGGTGGGCTTGGATCGTTCGCAGACTGACAGGAACAGGAACCGCGCAAGAGCGATGCACCGCAACTTCGCGATGAATACCGGACATACAAGATCTTGGTCGGATGCCGTAAGTTTTGACGGTCGGACACGGAGGAAACAAGTGTTCTAACATTTGCGCAGCTGGCATCCCCAATGTCTACTACTTTGGCCAGGAGGGTTTACATAACATTCTGGTCATTGACCTTCTCGGACCCAGTCTCGAAGACCTCTTCGACCATTGCAACCGCCGATTCTCTGTCAAGACCGTTGTGATGGTGGCTAAGCAGATGGTGCGTTTACTGTCTTATCCAGCAGTTTCTTGCGTCTAACGCCCCCCATAGCTTTCCCGAGTCCAAACAATCCATGAGAAAAACTTGATTTACCGAGATATCAAACCCGACAACTTCCTTATCGGTCGCCCAACCACCAAGGCCGCAAATGTGATCCACGTCGTCGACTTTGGAATGGCCAAGCAGTACCGAGACCCCAAGACCAAGCAGCACATCCCTTACCGTGAACGCAAATCGCTGTCTGGTACAGCACGCTACATGAGCATTAATACCCACCTGGGACGGGAACAATCGCGACGAGACGATTTGGAAGCTCTTGGGCACGTGTTCTTGTACTTCCTAAGAGGCGGCCTCCCGTGGCAGGGACTCAAGGCGGCCACCAACAAGCAAAAGTACGAAAAAATCGGCGAGAAGAAGCAGACGACTGCGATCAAAGACCTCTGTGAGGGGTATCCTGGTATGTCTCAACCCTGGCCGGTCTCGGCTCTATTGCTTCATAGATAGCACTAATCAGATAGGTCTAGAAGAATTCAACAAGTACTTGACTTATGTTCGAAATCTTGGTTTCGAAGACACTCCGGACTACGACTACCTGAGGGATCTGTTGACGCAGGCCCTCAAGAACGCAGGGGAAGTCGAAGATGGAGAATATGACTGGATGAAGCTGAACAACGGAAGAGGTTGGGAGTACAAGTCATACTCGTCCCAACAACATCTGCACAACAATGGGCTCCCCAATTCATCTGCCCGCGACCTTCACGGGCAGCAGCTCCGCAACAGCCCGAGGCCTGGTGTGACCGCAGACCGTTTAAACGCCGCGCAGCCCCCGCCCCCATCTCCAGCGAAACCCGGAGTTGGGAAGACGCGCGAGCGGCCAAGCGCCTCCGGAGGAATGCCACCGAAACGCCAGAGCGGGGGCCTGGACACAGCAACACCAACAGCGTCAACTCAGGCGCAGTTCCAGAACTCGAACGGGAATCTGCCAGGCCGCATGGGAAGCCCCTCGAACCCAGCAATGAACAGTCAACAGGTTCCAGGCGCTCAGGGGAACAATGACCCGCAGCCAACTTTCGTCCAGAAACTGATGAAGGCGCTATGCTGCGGTAGGTGACCTTGTTAAATGCCTAAAGAATGCCTGTCCCTTTGCTGATTTCCGGGCTTTCAGGTTGATACGACTTCGCACACTGTAATTCTACATATATTTTGTGGCCATGTTACATTCAGCTTCTTGTGTCTTCATTTCTGGAGGCTCGAAAGATAGCATACGATTACGCTTCCACTTTCGGGCGCTCTCCTCTTCTCTATGTGGAATCTGGTCGGCTTTTTCAACACTGCTCGCGAATGAATCTTACGGACCGGGGTATACTTTTCTTTTTTGAAAGGGTTAGTCAATCCTTTCACCCCGTCTGCATTCAAAAGATCTCATTCGGGGGGGGGGGAAACCTTGTCGTGATTCGAACAGTCAACCGATAAACTGTGGAGCGACCCTTTTTTTCCTTCTCCTTTTCTTTTTTCTCTGCGTCTCATCATCACTCTTTTTATGGTGCTACGGCTCGGAACGGCGAATTTGAGCATTTATCTGCTTTTTGTTGTTTTTTTCTTTTTCTTTTCTTCAATTTCCTTCTGCTTCATTTCCGGCGTGAACCATTTAATACTAGACTTCGATTTTTCGCTGATTACATGACCACTACACCGATTCTTGTTCTTTCTCCAGCCGCCTCGCCACTAATCCGCCGTCGGCTCACTCTGGATGGCTCTTGGTGGCATGCAACATGGCAAATGCGGAGGGTTATCCCCCGACGTCACGGGAGAAGTCGCCTATTTACGCGAAGCATTTACCGTCTACATGTTTGAATATGCCTCCCAGAACGCGTCGCGGGGGAAAAAAGATCCATCGGAGTTGGTGATGCGAAAGCGGCCTGTGGCTGCGTGCTAGTGTTTTTGTTTCTATTTCCTTTTTTACCACGTCTCTGCCGGGAATCATTGATGTAGCCTTGTTTTGTTGGATTTGCATTTTGTCTTAATGTTTCTTTTCCTGTCGGATCGAAAGCCTGTGTTTACTTGTTTATTCTCTTTTTTTTTTTT